AAATCTACAGTTGGACACCATTGGTGCATTTTTTTTTATTATACTTCATGTATTTAGCCCCTGCCACTTGGGGTTGGAGGCAATGAAAAATGCTGGCAGCCTGCCCCTCCCCATGAGATACCATATTCCCGGATTGGGGCTGAGAGAGAGGGAACCCTATTTTCTTGACTACACCCCCCTGTACTGAGGGATCTGTCATCACACTGAAATGGCAGGGAAGGAGGGAGAGACTGGGTGTGGCTCAAGTGTCACAGACTCTCACTGTTCTTACCAAAATTTAGGTTTCCTTGAATAAATATTAATTTGCTATATGCTTTTAGGACAATTTCCAGAGACATTAGGGCCCCTCACCCATCCATTCTGGAAGTCTAAAGAATGTTTTATGCTAGAAAATTTGTGTACTTTACTACATTAAGAGAGTGATTAAAGGATAAAAACTATATAATTATATTAATAGATGCAGGAAAAGCCTCTAATAAAATTCAGCACTAAATTCAGGACTGGAAAGAGCATTTCCTTAACCTGATAAAGACCATCTACCAGAAAACAACAGCAACTACATATTTATTAGTAAAACTTTAGAAGTTTATCTTGAATGTCAGGAACTAAACAAAGATGCCAACTGTCACCAATTATACTGGAAATATATAAAATATAAGGATTGGAATGGAAGAAATACAATTGTCATTATTTCCAGCTGACATAATCATTGCATACAAAACAATTTACAGACTATTAGGATAAAGAAGTTCAGCAAGGTTGCTAGATACTAGATCAGTATGTAAAAACCAACCTTATGAACTAGAAAATGTGATTGTTAAAAATGTCATTTACAGTCAGGCACGGTGACTCACATCCGTAATCCTAGCACTCTGGGAGGCCGAGGCAGGCAGATCATTTGAGCTCAGGAGTTCGAGACCAGCCTGAGCAAGAGCAAGAACCATCTCTACCAAAAATAGAAAAAATTAGCCAGGCATGGTGGTGCATCCCTGTAGTCCCAGATACTAGGGAAGCTGAGGCAGAAGTATCGCTTGAGCCCAGGAGTTTGAGGTTGCTGTGAGCTAGACTGATGCCATGGCACTCTAGCAGGGGCAACAGAGTGAGACTCTGTCTCAAAAAAAAAAAAATGTCATTTACTATAACAACAAAACCTAGGTTAGGAAGAAAACTAAGACATGCACATCCTTACTATAAAATGTAAGCCATAATAGAATTATGTCTTTATAAATAAATACATATAATAAATGGGAGTGATATAGCCTGTTCATAGAGAAACTTAGTTCATAAACAATCCTAACTAATCTGTACATTCATTACAACTGCACAAACAACAAAATGCACACATGACAAGCTGATCCCAAAATTTATATAAACAAAGGTCCGAGAATAAGCCAGGCATTTTTGAAGATGAGGGGAATCATTCTATCATTTATGATAATCAATTACAAGGTCACAATGATTAAAACAGTGGGTTACTGGTAAAGTTAGATAAGTGGACCAATTTAACAGAATACAGAGCCCAAAAATATTCCCATAGTTCTATGGAATTGGATATAATGATATCCAAATCAAGAGGGAAAAGATGAACAATTTCTTTAAAGGTGCTCAGAAAACTAGCTATCCATATAGAATTGAGAAGAGAATCTATGAGTGTTGGAGAAATATGATTGAGGAATTGATGAGATGTGGCTCATAAGATCATTATTTTATTGTATTGCCCAATAGTCCTATATTACAGACAGAAACAGGAGTTGGCAGGGTTTTGCCCTGAAGGAATACGTGAACTCATTAGTTCTCTTATCAAGGGCTGCATCACCTTGCGAGGGCTCTCAAGGCTCTGGTAAGGATGTTTTCCAAGAAGCCTTCCCCATTATCTCATGTGTGGAGCCTTCCATTTTCTTGAAAGGCAAGACAGGGTAAATATGTGGCTCACAGGACGGGAGCCGGAGACAATGAGTGCCCTTTGCCCAGAGATGCACCCCTGTGGTTATAAACAACTTGTTTTATAGAATACAGGCTTTCTGCTCACTCCTGTCTGCTTTGAGTCCACAATAACTAGATCAAAGAAGTATAGAGCCACTATGCCTTTTTGTTATTCCTCTGTTAATTGATAACTATCTCTTAGAACTTAGAAGTTAGCCCCTAAAAGACTTTGTACCTGTTTGTTCACCTAGACTAGAATTTGCTAGAAGCCCTTTTAGAGGACTTTTGACCCTAACCCATTACCTGTATAATCCTGTTTCCATAGCAACCACACTGATATATGTTACTATGGCAACTGGTAATTAATATCTGTAATTATAAAAACCTATGTGAATCTAACCATAATGCTGGACCATTCACAGGGATATGGTTTAGACTCCTGAGTACCCCTGCTGTTATTCTGATCTTTTTATATAAAACTATACCTTAGTGTCTGTGTATTCTTTTATTCCATTTCCTATCAATTTACCCTCTGTGGTGACCCCTACCTAAGGGACCTGGCTTCATGGGGAGAAGTAGCTAATCTCCTCGCAGCCCTGCCACTCTCCCACATATAAATATGTATTCACCACCTTTGGTTAGGGAAGGGGTTCTTAAATACGGAAACAGAACAAAACATGGAAAGACTGCATTCATTTCATTTAAAAACTACTGTATGATAAACAACATCATAAACAAAGCAGTTATGTGGATGTTCTAATTCTCCACATTTTTATATAAAAGAAAAAAAATCCCCAACAAAAAAAAATCTATAAAATACCTAGGAATAGGCCTAATATGAAATGTGTAAGACCTTTATGAAGTTATTAAAATTTTATTCAATATAAAACCCTAATAAAATGAGGCCTATCATGATACTAATGGGAAAAATTATATTAGTTATAAAGAAGGCTATTATCCTCAGATAAATAACCCATAGTAAAATTCGGCAAATATGACACAAATAGGTAACACAGAGATTTACAAATAGCCAACAAACATGGAAATGTTTGGTTTTATAAGAAATCAGAGGCCAAATGTGGTGGATCACGCCTGTAATCCTAGCACTCTGGTACACCAATGTGGAAGAACTGCTTGAGCTCAGGAGTTTGAGACCAGCCTGAGAAACAGCAAGACCATATCTACTAAAAATAGAAAAATTAGCTGGGCGTGGTGGCACATGCCTGTAGTCCCAGCTACTCAGGAAGCTGAGGCAGAAGGATCACTTGAGCCCAGGAGTTTGAGGTTGTTGTGAACTAGGCTGATGCCATGAAACAACACGCTAGCCCAGGCAACAGAGTGAGATTCTATCTAAAAAAAAAAAAAAAAAAAAAAAACAAAAAAAAACCAGAGAAATTCAAGTTAAAACAAAGTAATTTCGATCATAAACTTGGTTAAAAAAAAAACCACTTGATTCTCCACCAGGCTCCCTGCTGTCTCATGGCAAGGGTGAGAAGTCTTCAGGTCACGCTTTTCTAATTACAGCCTGGAAAATGAGTACATGTGTGAGATCGAGATCCAGAGAAAGAGGAGATGGTCAAGAATCCCACAGCTGGGCTGAAACTGGCTGCCCAGAATCGCAGTGAGTATCAGGAGGAACCACCAACTGAGAGGCAGAAGTTGAACCCGGACAAGAGAGCGGAGTGCCTGTGGTTGAAGGTGAAGGGGAACTTGAATTGGAAGGTGATCCCAGGAAATAGGCTGGAACAGACTAGAGGTTGAGTGTGGGGATGGTCCGGATGTGAAAGGAAAGACCCCAGCTAACCCAGAGAGTGCTAAACTCCAGAAGCCCACCACGGACAGTCCTAAATTAAAAAGAAGACAAACTGAAGCCACACATGCTGTTACACTGATAATTTGACTTGTTAATTCTCTCAATAAAGTTTTATAGTTTTCTCTGAAAATAAATAAATAAATAAATAAAGCCAATCTACCAAGATTGATAATACCAATTGTGAATAAATGGGTCCTTTCATGGAATGCGAATTGAAGGAAGCAATTTCACTGTACCCATTAACATTTAAAATCCACATCATTTTTTATCTAGCAATTCCATGAAGCTAGAGCTAAACTTGTCAGAATAAAAATGTCTTGGCCAGGTGTGGTGACTCACACCTGTAATCCTAGCACTCTGGGAGGCAGAGGCAGGACTGCTTCAAGACCAGCCTGAGCAAGAGTGAGACCCCAGTCTCTACTATAAATAGAAAGAAATTAGTCAAACAACTAAAAAATAGAAAAAATTAGCCAGGCGCATTGACTTGTCAATTACAGGCGCATGCCTGTAATCTCAGCTACCCAGGAGGCTGAGGCAGGAGGATCGCTTGAGCCCAGGAGTTTGAGGTTGCTGGGAGCTAAGCTGACACCACGGCACTCTAGCCCAGGCAACAGAGCAAGACTCTGTCTCAAAAAAAGTCTTGCATATGTAAATGAGAAGTTGACTGCAAAATAAAGATGGTATAATCCCATTAATGTAAATTATATATACAAACTAGCTGATCTAACAGACTTTAAAAGAGTGGTTTAAACAAGTCAGTTATGTATTTGACTCTCAAGTAACAGGTCAAAGGAAAGCAATTCAAGACTGGCAGGCCAAGTGCTCCAACCTCAGCACACGACTTCCATCTCTCTAGATGCCAGCTCCGCAGAAGCCCCTACCTGGCCTCCTAGCCAGCAGGAGAGGAGAGTATATACTCTAATCCCTTATTTAAGGCCCCAATTGGGAAGTTTTACTCACATCTCATTGCCTAAAACAGTCATGTAGCCACAGTGAACCGTAAGAAAGGCTAAGAAGCATAGTCTCTAGCCAAGCAGCCACGCGTCTGGGTAAAACTCAGGAATTTCATCCATCATGGAAGAAGGGCAAGACAGACATTTGTGCCACTTGTTTTTGTAAATGCACGGAAACTAGTCTGGATGAACACACACCAAATATAGCTCTGCAACAGGAGCAAGACTGGCATAGGGGTGGGGAGGCAGAATATTGCTTGAAATTTTTTAACAGTGATGGTATATTCATGTGACCAGGGAATTTTTAAAAATTTGACAAAATTTTAAAATCCTTTATTTGTACCAATATATCATGTTAAGTACATTAAATCTATCTAAATTGTACAAAGCTTTTAAAGTTCTAAAACTTAGATTTTATCTAAATGAATAAGTTACCCTATATTGTTAAAAACCAATCTACTCACAGCACTGCTCTCCATCTAGGTCACATGATGACAATGTGTGCAGATTTCCATTCTGAGACACCACCTACTCAAGGTTGCATGTCAGGGGCAGAACTGAGACCAGAACTGGAACAAGGACCACCTTGCTCTTACTGCATTGTAACTTTGGACAGTATTTTTTACTTGAAGAGGCAGTTACATCTTCTCTAGCTCAGTATAATGTAGATTTCAGATACTATAGATACAATGCACAAACGCTTCACACCCATGACCTTGAGAACCTTCACCCTGAGAACAAAGGGAACACAATTTCCTCACATGCTAATGATTATAAAAATAAAAATAAACAAAGAGGTCCCCAGAAACAAATGAGTCATGAGTTTTGACTACCTTCTCAGCCAAGTACTCAAATGTAAGATTTATTGATCTGTTTAAAAATTCCTTCTATGGCTTCTAAGATAATGATGGCAAAGTGACCAAAATAATATAATCTCCCTCCTTCAATATATATGAACCGCACTAAAAATAGAAAAAAACTGAACAAGCTAGAATCCAAAAAAAGTAGAAAAGCCTGGCAAGAATTGTCTCTAACTAGGACATCTCTGCCTAAGGAAATGATTCTTGGCCTAAGAAAATATCAGAGCAGTGAAAGCAAAACCTGTGTCCTCCCACAAAGCCTCACACAGCCCAGCGAGGCTCCCCAGACCTCCCTCCTCGCTGGGCCACAGGGGGGAGCAAACGGAAGGCTGGACACAGCTGTCCACTGCAAGCCTGCGCAAGATGTAAAGAAATGGCATGAGCGGAAGACGAGCACAACACAGAAAAATGAGAGAGGAGAAACAGCGGTTGGAGAAGATAAACCCAGGAAACAAATTGCACTGTGATGGCTACAGAAGAAATATAAATACAGTGAATTCAACAAAACAAGACTTTAGAGATGAGAGAATAAAATTACCATAAAAAGGAAACAAGGAAAACAAGAATAAAAAAATAAAGTGAGGACCAAGGCAACACCATCACAAAACCATAAGCACATAAGCCATAGTCAGAAACAGAACAGCCTTAGCTGAAAACCACACCCCGGAAACAGGCATGAACATCACAGCCAACGACAGTGTCATAAAAGCAGGCACGAGATGATGGCAACTGGAGAAGACAACCTAGGAGGAGAGCCAGGGCTCCGACAGGACCTGATCAGCACCCTCGGCAAGGCTAGCTCCACAAAGAAAGCAGAAAGGGTCAAAGACCCCCGCCAGCCTGCACACAGAGAGGGGCCCGGAGTGGGGTCACTCTATGGTAACGACAGCTGTGACCGCTGTGGTCTGCCGTGATGGCTGTGTGTGTGCATCTGTGCGGTTTTATGGACTGCCTTTTGTTTCTGCTTGGATTTTTTAATGATAACACATTTCATTTTCTAAAACCAACAGTCAAAAAGAGATGCCCTTTGCTTAAAGCCATAGTAAACTGAATACACTACAACTTTCCACAAATACATGTCTTATTTCATTCCACACTATTTTCATGCTTTATGAATAAAAATACCCGCCAATTTAACAGTACCTTAAAAAGAGGACTGTTTAAAGGCAATTAATATGATTAACAACAGATACATCTGATCTTTTTTGGGGTGGCAAACAATGAATTTAAATGTTTAAAAGTTATGTATCAAAATAATGCTGTTAACAGATACTGATGAACTAATTTATTGAACAACTCTGACACAACTCTGACTGAATGTAAAACCTGTTTTTAGCACCAATAAAAAGAATTCTTGAGATTTCTTTTCTGCAAACTTCCAAATGTGGTCCCTGACAACATCTTTTGGGTAAAGGAACAAATGTGCTCCAAGGAGTAAATGCTAGGTCCCTGATTTTATAACATAATTCAGAGTGCCAAAAAAAAAAAAAAAAATCCAGGTATTTTCTGTTTTAGTTTTAGTTTAGCATTATTAAAACTTTTAAGTTTCAGAGAAGAATTTCTTCTTCCTTACAGTTTTAATTTTGAGGTAGATGTCATGCAAAGTAAATATTCAGTACAGCCAACTTTAGTCAACAAACATGATTATTAATACAATTAATAATCAGAAATTTCCATTAGATAAAGTGAACCGAAAGTTTAGGAAGCAGTACTGTTCAGCAGTATTCTGGCTTGAGTTTCCAAATTCCTTCACCACCAGAAGTTCTATGAAAAGTGCACAGATTTCTCAACAGTTCTCGGAAGACGCAAGACTGCGATGCAGACAGCTTGGATTCAAACTCTTGCAGTATCTCCCTAGTGCTGGCCTGGCCATCAACGTGGGCCTGAAAAGCAATGAAGTTTCTAATTTCCACCAGAAGGTCGTCGTGTTCTGTGGTGAGCATCGGGGCAGAAGCCTCTTGAAGGTGCCCACTTTCACTTTCTAGCCGCTCTGGCAGAATCAGGTGGTTTCTAGCTCTCATTTTAGCCAAGAGTGAGGAGGAGGTGAGGGCCCCAGATGAAGACTCTGCATCTTCTGTTCTTCCGCTAAAATGCTCAGGGACATTACCTTTTCCTTCCTTTTTCATTATGCCATCCTGGAGAAAGAAGATCACCACATTGATATATTTCATTTCTAGTTTATGCTCCCACTTGCTTTCCCCGAAGGCTGTGATGGGCCACAAGATAATACGTGTGCCAGGGTGGGGAGGCTGATGGGGCGAGACGGAGAGCCCATCTAATGCAAAAGGGAAAGAGGAGAGTCAACACTCAATCCTCCTACTGTGGCTGGGCGCGGTGGCTCCCGCCTAACATCCTAGCACTCTGGGAGGCCGAGGCGGGTAGATCATTTGAGCTCAGGAGTTTGAGACCAACCTAAGCAAGAGCAAGACCCCGTCTCTACTAAAAAATAGAAAGAAATTAGCGGGACAACTAAAAATATATAGAAAAAATTAGTCAGGCATGGTAGTGCATGCCTGTAATCCCAGCTACTCTGGAGGCTGAGGCAGGAGGATCACTTGAGCCCAGGAGTTTGAGGTTGCTGTGAGCTAGGCTGACACCATGGCACTCTAGCCCATCCAACAGACTGAGACTCTGTCTCAAAAAAAAAAAAAAATTCCCCCACTGTTAGAGAGCATTTCCTAAAAACAATAAATAAATTAAAAGGAAGGGCAACTGAGCCATGCTCTTTGGTCATTATTCTGCACAGTGAGGAGGAAGGCAGTGAAGCAGGCCGGCTCGCAGGAAAGGTTCCTAGGAAATCTGTCTCTAGGAGGCCTGGGACGACTTTGAGTGCTTGCGGGCTTTTCCTGTTCTTCCTTCCAAATGGACCCTGATCCACACACTGTGGACAAGGAACTATCCACATATCACAGCTATACTTATTTTCTCTCACGTTTAAGTCTTCTTACTCTTTTCCTACCTTACACCTAACGTGAGTTTCCTTAGAACAACACAAATCTAACTTCGCAAGGGCCTCAAATCCCTACTGCTAAAAGCATATAATATGGGAAGTCAAAAAGTTCTCTATTCCTAAGAATGTTTACACTCATTTAAAACTGAAGTCTGAATCTGGGAGCTTTAACATAATCCTCTACCAGAAAGACCAAGAAAGTACTGAATGGTGCAGTCTGGCCTAGTTTTAACCACTGAAGTACTCAAGGGCACTGCAGTACTGCAGGGCATTCTAGAACAGAGACAGATATGGGCACTCTGCTCTAGCAGCTAGTGAATTATAGACAACACTCAAGGTGGCTTTCTGGATCTTCATTCCAGAGGTCAGTGGTCCCTGGAGCTGGCACTTTCCCTCCAGATGGGCAGGCTGTGCTAGCAGTGACACACCTATCCCTGTATTAACCTCTGAGGGCAAAATACATGCTGCCACAGATCTCAGGTTAAAGACTTTGTCTTTTAGGAAGTTAGGTGGTTATTTTAGATTCCAATGAAAGTACACCATAAATCAGAGCATACAATACAGTATCAAGTATCATCCTGCAATAACCATATTCTGCATATCAGAATCGGGGGAAATTGTCATGGTACTTCCATCAAACAAGTCTCACCCTGAAAAGCAAAAAGGTTATCATATTACCTGGCACTTCTCTGCTGGAGACACTGAAGAAGGATGCTGCACAGAAAACTTAGAATTCCTCTTCTGACCAAATCTGCTCCTAAATAAAGAAAGGAATCACAGTAGATTAAATGTTTGCTTTTGTGACTTAGAGATCAAAACAGCCAAGCATGAACCTCCTGGAAACGCTTTCACGCACATGGCTGTTCTTTCTTGCTGTGCCGTTTCTGCCCTAGCCCCGGTTCCTCCACTGCACTCTCCCGGGAAGCAGCCTCTGCATCTCAGCGCGAGAACTACTCAATAGCTTCGTTCACATATGATGGAAATCACCCTTTTAGAAAATTGCTCTAAAAGAACATACTGAATAGCACAATAATTACTGATTATTGTAAACTTGCTAATTATCTTGCTAAAGTTTCATCGTTATTTTGTATCTCTTACTATTTCTAATGACGCCATCTTTCAAACAAGACTGATCACTTCTCCTTCCCATGAAAAGTCACTTTGGAAAAATGGAGATACAAGCAAGTAAGAAGGTAAAATTACAACGGTATTTCCCCAAGTCACCCAAACCTGGCTGACACAATCCCTCCCCAAGGAACTTTCTATTACTGCAGATACACAAGAATCTAAGCATCCACACCTGCCCTGACTTTGGTTTTAGCTAGCCTCCCCGCAAGCACTGCAGGCAGCACTCGCTTACTTTAGTCCTGCTGGTGCACCAGAACTCGCCCTGTGGCCAGTCCAGGTGGGAACCCCAGACACTGCTCCCAGACACCGCTGACGAGAGAGCCGCAGTGCTTTCAAGGCGTCCTGGGCCACTCGATTGGCTTCTGCCTCCACCAGCACATAATCTGGGCTGGCTCCATCCATAATGGCATCGTGTTTCATGACACTGTGCACACCAACTAACAAGAAGGAAAACAGCAAAGTAAGATTTCAGTTTGTCCACAAGATACCCTTCTCCTCTGTAATAGTCTAGCATTGCTGTAGTCAAAAAATAATGAACATTCTTAGATGCTATTTACCAAGTGGCTATTTTGACCCAGAAACTTCACAAATGCCATTGCTACTCATACTTGCCACTACCCTAAGGTTTTATAATAACTGAAGCATAATATTGTAATCACAACTTCAACATTTAAGCTCATTCTTGCTACCTGGAAGGGAAGCAAAAACCTATCAATGAACTTTTTCATGAAAGGAAAAATATAAACCAGAATTAAAAATTTCTAAAAAATAATGACCATGAAAACACTACATACCAGAATCACTGAGATACATTTAATGCAGTGTTAGTGGAAAATTCAAAGCCTTAAATACTTATATCAATAAAAACAAAAGAATTAAAATTTCAAGTAAAAAAGTTATAAAAAAAAATTAAGCCAAAAACCCCACCTAAATACAATAAAAACAAAAGCACAGCAAGAAATAAAGATAAAAGCAAAAATTAATAAGGTAGAAGATAATCATGGATCTAATAAATAAATCAAATTCCTGGTTTATTGAAAAAAAAAATCACAAAACAAACAACCCACTAGCTTAAACAATTTAAAAAGGAAAAACAAATTTATGAAATTATAAATGACAAGGGGGAAATTATCTTGAAATAAAAGCAAATTAAAAAAAATCATTATAAGAGCATTTTATATACTTGTATGCAAACTTGAAAACTAGACAAAATACATAATTTCCTAGGAAAACAGACCAGTAACTGTAGAAGAAATAGAGGAAAACTACAGACCAATATAACTTATGAATATAAATGAGAAAATACAAAATATGTCAGCAGACAAAATCCAAAAGCAAAAAAAGCATAATACACCATGATCAAGTAGAAGCTATGAATTAATATTGGGAATTCAAGGTTCATTCAATATTAGAAAATCCATTATATAATAAGCTTAAAATGGTTTATTGTCTCCATAGATGTTATTTCTATAGATCTTGAAAATGCCTTTGACAATTCAACATCCACTCCTGATAAAAACACTCAAGAAATTGGGCAATGATTGATACTTCCTCGGGTGGGGGAGAGGAGGGAATAAAAAAATAAAAAAAAATAAAAAATAAAAATCGAAATTAAAAAATGTAATAAAACATATACCTTAGTCTTAACACTAGACTCTTAAGCTAGGTGAGCTGGCTCATGCCTGTAATCCTAGCACTCTAGGAGGCCAAGGTGGGAGGATCGCTTGAGGTCAGGAGTTCAAGACCAGCCTGAGCTACACCAAGACCCCATCTCTAAGAATAGAAAAATTAGCTGGGCATGGTGGCATGCACCCTGTAGTCCCAGCTACTCGGGAGGCTGTGGCAGGAGGATCACGTAAGCCCAGGAATTTCAGGTTGCTATGGGTTAGGCTGAAGCCACGGCACTCTAGCCCAGTCAACAGAGCAAGATTCTTGTCTCAAAAAATAAAAACACCAGATTCTTATTCAGTGGGTAAACAAACACCGGAGGATATTTTCACCAAGAATGGGAAAGATAAGATGTCCATTATCTCCACTACTTAATATTTATTTCATATTTGCCAAGTGCAATTAGAAAAGGGAGATTAGAGACATGAATTTAAAATGAAAAAGTGAAATTTTATTTTTTAGTCTTTTTTTAATGATAGCATACCTAGAAAACCCTATAGAATCAATGATAAAACGTAAACAAAAAAATTCAGAAAAAATAAAATGATATAAAATTAACATCCAGAAATTTATGACCTACCTTCCTATTCACAAACAATAGCCAGTTAAAAGATATAATGGTGGAAAAAATTCCATTTACAATAACCAAAAAGATAAAACACTTAGGAATAAACCGAAGAAATATGTAAAGCCTACTTGGAGAAAATTTATAAATACTCCTGGAATGACATATTATTAGGCTTAAACAAATATAAAAGACATCCTTTGTTCTTACCTAGAATGACTCAATAACCATTCTCCCTGAGTTAATTATACATTTAATGCAATCCCAATACAAATACTAACAACTTTTTTTATGAAGCTTAAACAAACTGATACTAAAGTTCATCTGGAAAAATAAATGTGCACGAATAGTTAGGAAAACACTGAAAAGGCAAAGCGACACCCTACTGAAGAGTAAAAGCCACTGAAACTATTAACAGTTTGGTGTTGTGGCAGAGATAGACAAAGCAGGGGATGGACAAAAACTCCAAAAATAGACCCAACTACGTATGGAAGTATATTACATGATAAAGGTAGCATCTCAAATCACTGGGGAAAAATAAATTTTAAATAAATTATGCTAGAAAAGTTAGGGAGTTACTAGAAACAAGATAAAATCAATACTTCATATTCCAAATAGGTCAGAGATCTCAATCTAAAAAACCATACAACTGGTACAAGAAAACATGGTGAATTCCTGTATTACCTACCCATAGAAAAGGCTTAAGCACAATGACTCAAAATTAGTAACAGGTAAGACTGATAAATTGATTGTATATGTTTTAAAACCTGTTTCATAGGCAAAAACTCACCATAAGTAAAAAAAAAAAAAAAGAAAAGAAAAACTATGAGAAAATATTTGTTGCATATATGAAAAATAAAAAGCTAACATGCCTAATCTATTTAAAAAACTCTTTAAAACCAAGGGGGAAAAAAGACCTAAAACGAGATATTATTTCTCACTTATCAGATTGGCAAAAATTAAAAGTATAACAACACATGCTTGGCATGGCTCTGGGGAACAGATGTGTACATTGATAGTGACAATGCAATTTGATATAAACGATATATGGTGAGGAGATGGGCATTAACTCACAAAAATAAAAAACTCTACATATCCATTTACCTTTTGTTCTAGCAATCCCACTTCTAGGAATTTTTCTCTAAAGATAAACCCTCTAAAAATACTAAAATATGTAAGTAGAGGATTATTTACTATATAGTGCTATGATTGAAAAAAGCTATAAACTATCTAAATGCTCATATGTGAATAATAAATCATGGCGCAGGTTGAGTATCCCTTATCCAAAAAGTTTGGCACCACCAATGTTTCAGATTTTGGATTTTGGAATATTTGCATATATACGATGAGATATCTTGGGGTTGGGACCCAAGTCTAAACACAACATTTATTTAATATATACCTTACCCACATAGCCTGAAGATAATTTTATACACACTTTTTAATAATTTTGTGCATGAAACCAAGTTTTGATTGTGTTTTGACTGAGACTCAGTCACATGAGGTGAAGTGTAGAATTTTCTACATGTCAACGCTCAAAACATTTCAGATTTGGGCACATTTCAGATTTTGGAATTTTCGAGCAAGTGTGCTCATGTCCGCATAGAGCATTCTAGCAATAACAATGAAGGAGGGAGTTGTCTGTGAAGTAACGTGGAGTTTCTGTCAGGATGTATCACTTTTTTAAAAGGGAACAGAAGAGTACAGTGTGCAACCCGTTTGTAAAAGAGTAATTATGAAATGAGACATACGTCTGTGTATTGTCACAAAAAGAAACACAGGAAGGAAATGCCAGAAACTCACAGGACTGGGGAGGTCATGGTGGGGGGGTGGCACTTCTCTGAGTATAGTTTTGATTGTGTAACTACGTTAATGTGTTACATACTCCAAAGGTAAAGTCGACAAGCATGGGAGGAAACCCTAAAATGGAATACAAACAGAAATAAATTAACCTAACTATATTTTAAAGTGATAACACACTGAAGGGAAAGAAAAAAAGAATTAACCTAAGTAATGTATGAACAGAGTTTTGACTGAAAACTTTCAGGATAAAGACAAAAATAAATATGAACAAATGCTGAACTCCAGTTAGTGTAATTGCTTTTTGCTGTGGTAGGTTAGAAATTCTAAAACTACCGTGCTTTCTAGCATTGAGCATTCAGTCAGTATGCTGAGACAAATGGTCCTGAAGAAGGAGCTACAAATACGGAAAGGCCCTGTGGTACTGAACTGAAACCGGAGATAACAGTGTCAACTCATTTTGTTTTGCTTTTCAGAGCTTATTGGTATATAAATCATACACAATAAAACTGCACATACTTCAAATGTACAATTTGCTAAGTTATAACACATATATATACCATGAAATTGTCACTACAGTCACAACACTGAACATAACCATCGCCTGCACACCTTTCCCCGTGCCCCTTCATAATCCCCAGACAACCCATCTGCTGTCACCACAGTCTGTTTGCTAGAATTTTATGCAAATGGAATTGCACAGTATGTACTACTCTTATTAGTCTGAATTCATCCATATTGTGGCATGTATCAATACTTTATTTCCTTTTATTACTAATATCAAGTCCATTGTATGGATATACCATGGTTAGTTTATTCACCTGCTGGTGAACATTTGTGTTATTTCCAATTTGGGGCTATTACTAATAAAGCTGCTATGAATTTTCATGTATAAGTCTTTATGTGGACGTATCTTTTCATTTCTCTTGGGTAAATACATACCCAGGACTGGTGCATGCCCATTTTTTTTAAACTGCCAGATTGTTTTTCAAAGTGAGTGCACCATCTACAATCCCACCAGCAGTGTATGAGAGATCCAATTCCTACACATCTTTACCAACACGTAGTATTTTTTTAACTTTGGTTATGCTAGAGGGTATTTTCTCCTCATTTTTGATCATGTTTTCCTGCTTCTTTGTATGCCCTGTAATTTTTAATTGGGTGCCAGACATTAGAAATTTTTATCTTATTGGGTGCTGGGTATTTATGTATTTCTATAAACATTCAGGTGGCACTGAAGCAGTACTCATTCTAAGGATAATCATTCCCTACTACTGAGGCAAGACCACTATACTATGCAATACCCAATGCCCCATGAAATGTTTTTCAGCCTGGCTGGTGGGAACAGGCACTATCCTTTGCTATGGGTGAGCATCATACATGTTTCCTCTGTCCTTTTGGGATGGGTCCCTTCTCCAGCCTCCAGTAGTTTCCTTGCACAAATGTGATGGTCAGCATTCAGCTGAGTACCAAATGAGACCATCAAGAAAGTGAAGTTCTTCAGAAAGAGGGCTAACTACAATTTCCAAAATGTCAATACATTTCAAATCTGAGTTTCTGAAGAAAAGTACTGTTGGCTGAGAGCCCACTTTGCACCACGAGTTAAAGGCTGCTACTGCCAGGAACAGCCCAGTCATTGCTCTTCCTAGCACCCCCATGGCACATGCAGCAAAGGATTACCTGATTTTTTGAAAAGCTTTTCCAAAACATAATCGTCATTGCTCTGTTCCTTGGCCTCACTCCTGTTTTCTTCATCTTGCTTCTGGTACTGCCTTTTCTTCACCAGGTGTGGAATCCGAGTTCCTTCAAACCTGGCGTCTCTGTGATGCTTAGAGTTCCTAGGCTTTTGCTTTGGTCTCACATGCTTCTCCAGAGTCTCTGCTGCTGCCACACACTGATGTTTTGTTTTTGACTTATGCTTATAAAAATTATTTTCCATTTGTTCATTTTCCCAGAGAGGTTCTATCTGACCCTGGCAGCTTTCTCTTTCATCCGAAAGACCCTGCTTTTCATCCATGCTTTCCTCACCAGATCGCCTGGACATACTGCCAATTCCAGAAGAATGTGAACATTCCTCATTTCCACTAATTACCAATGACTGCTCTGGTGTAGACACCATGTCAGTCTCTTCTCCAAGCCTATTGCTGCTAGTTACAGTACTGCTCATGTGAGGGTCACCTTTGAAAAGATCACCTTGATTAGAAGTCACTGCAATTACTTTGGCTCCTACAGCCTCAGATTCCTTTTCAGATGATGTGGCATCATTTGCAGATGTATTAGAATCAGGGAACTTTTTGCATTTTGGAACATCGTGGTCTGTTCCAAAGGCTGTTTGGATTTTTCTTTTTAAGTGGCGTTTGGGTGTCTGAACATCTGAACCAGTACCTGTTAAGAGGAAAAACACAGTTAATATTATATTGCATAATTCATATATAATTGACTAGTTCAAATAATTTTATGTAATACCTGCAAAAATAGCACTTGTTTCAGTGCTCTGGGATGCATCGGGACTAGTCAGAGTAAACAGCTCATAAAGGTCATTGGATTTGAAAAACCGCCTTTGTTTTGGATCTTTTAGCACTCTATTTGTCAAAAACTGCTTGAAGATTTGTCTAAAAAGATAAAAATTAAACCGGTATAAAATAATGTTTAGCTCTACCTCAAAATTCAAGTTATAAAATAATATAAGAGAAATATGATAGCAGCTGCACAATGCTAAATATTAATAATCTCCCAAACTGTCAGTCTTGGAAAATTATAATCCAGAAAGTATGTAACACTTCAGTTGGTCTTGCGTGTCTTACAGAACTTAAATTGGAAATAATATCTTATTATTTACACCCAGTAAGCTTTTTCAACCCCCAAGATCCATCACATTTCAAGAAATACCCTTTCACACACATTCATGTGACTCACAGCTTCTCTGAGCTGCAAGGAGTCGGCCTCCCTGACTCTCAGACCAAGGGTGCCAAGCCCTGCCCTGCCCTGCCCTGCCCTGCCCTGCCCTGCTTGTGGTGGGACCCAGGAAACTCTCTCAGCTCACTCTGACCTGTCTCCTCCAGCTCCCACCTGCTGGTCCACCCTGCTGAAGTCCCACACCATTGTCACTCTTCACAGGCATCTCCACAGCAGCACTGCCCCTTCTGTCATTTATTCTCCAGGCTGAAGCCTGTCTCTCTAACAGGAAGCTCTCCTCTCATAGGATTCGACTCATCTCTGGCCCTTTCACAACAGGCCCTTGGAGAACATGCAACATTCCAGGAGTGGGCTAGTGCAAGGTAGAGAGCAGGGAGCTTCCTGTAGGAGCTGGACTACAGCTCAAGAACAGTCTTCGGTGGGGAGGAGGAGACACTGGCAATGCCTTGGCTCTGCTGTTGACGTTACTATGGCCTAAAATCGCCTAGTCATTATGCAGAAAGACAGAGGAAGAAATGGGTGTCCTGTCAACCTCTAAGGGGCATCAGAGTCAAAAACCACCAAGACACCCACGTGATCACACCTGCACGGTGTATGTAATTAAATGCCAATAGGTAGCATTCAACTTTGTCACTCTTTAAAGTTTTTCTGAAAGTGGCACACTACAGTAGGAAGGAATATTGTCTCTCAAAGAATATGTAACATGAAGCTCACATATAAGCGGCCCTTGAAGCAGAATAAAGTACAAAAATTATCAGGTTCAAAGACATTTCTTTTTTTTTTTTTTGAGACAGAGTCTCACTCTGTTGCCTGGGCTAGAGTGCCATGGTGTCAGCCTGGCTCACAGCAACCTCAAACTCCTGGGCTCAAGCAATCCTGCTGCCTCAGCCTCCCGAATAGCTGGGACTACAGGCATGTGCCACCACGCCCAGCTAATTTTTTCTATATATTTTTAGTTGGCCAATTAATTTCTTTCTATTTTTTAGTAGAGACAAAGTCTCCTCTTGCTCAGGCTGGTCTTGAACTCCTGAGCACAAACGATCTGCCTGCCTCGGCCTCCTAGAGTGCTAGGATTACAGGCGTGAGCCACCGCGCTTGGCCTCAAAGACATTTCTTAAAAACTCAAAATAAGCCATCTGAGTTTATTTTCATGGGAAAGAAAAGTATACAAAACATAAACAAAAAGCAATTAATATGTCCCTTAAGTTACAGCAACTATTACTCTAAGACGGAAAGATTTTTAAAACACTTAAAAAAACTTCCAAGGCCAGGCGTGGTGGCTCACGCCTGTAATCCTAGCACTTTGGGAGGCCGAGGCGGGCGGATTGCTCAAGGTCAGGAGTTCGAAACCAGCCTGAGCGAGACCCCGTCTCTACCAAAAATAGAAATAAATTAATTGACCAACTAAAAATATATATACAAAAAATTAGCCGGGCATGGTGGCACATGCCTGTAGTACCAGCTACTCGGGAGGCTGAGGCAGTAGGATCGCTGAGCCCCGGAGATTGAGGTTGCTGTGAGCCAGGCTGACGCCACGGCACTCACTCTAGCCTGGGCAACAAAGTGAGACTCTGTCTCGAAAAAAAAAAAACTTCCTGCTCAAAACTCTGGTTGCAGAGTGGAGAGTGGCAGCCAGTACTGACCGGTGGTAGATCTTTTCTTCAATGGTGCCTGCAGTCAGCAGTCTGTACACAGTCACCTGCCTCTTCTGGCCTATTCTCCACGCTCGCTCCCGGGCCTGCGACAGAGACAGACACTTCAACAAAAGCCCTTCCCAGCAACAAGCATCTCTGACTAAAAGAAAAAAAGATGGCTGGTTGCTGCTTTTCACTCCAGAGGAAGAATTTTGGCTAAGGAGGCCACGTACCCCAAAGGGCTGTGCAGAGAGGCAAGCAGCCAATTGACAGAGACCGAACTGAGACATCTCTGTGGGAAAAACATGCTTATAACCTTGCCTATGTTCTCTTTACACCAAATCTAGGAACGTATTCTATGCACAAACTGCTGACTGTTCCTGCCTGTGAGACTCTGAAGGACGTCTTCTTTCATGTTGAAGAACAGGAAACAACCAAAATGTGACTGCACAATGAAGCCAACTAGAACATCAAAGGCCAATACCAAGTGCTAACGATGAAACATTTCTACTACATACATATGTGCATATGTGTGTAGATACGTGTGTATATATACAGACACACAATCTTTGAGACAAAGCAGAAAACCGACCTGCGTGTCTGTGCTTGGGTTCCAGTCCGGGTCATAGATGATGACTCTGTTTGCCCCCGTCAGGTTAACGCCAAGGCCGCCCACCCGCGTGGTCAGAAGAAACACAAATATGGATTTGTCCTAGAGGCAAGACACACAGCACTCAGCATGCACATGTGTGACAGCTCTTCACACGTTCCACACATGGAGCCACCGGGCTGTTCCCAACCCAAGGAATGGTTATGCCTAGAGACCTTTGGTGAATCAAGAGCTCACCTCACGGCTCTTACTTTTAATATCAATTATATTATCAATATTTTAAAATTGGGTTTTCAAGAAGGAAAATACATGCTTTGTTTAAACACACACATGCATGTACGCACCTCAATAATCTAAAAGTGCGCTGAGTTTAAAGTAAAAAGTCCCCCTTCACCCCCTTCACCCTACCCGAGCCCAGAAGTAGGCCCTGCTCAGGTGGGTGTGGGTGTGCTCACTCCTGTGGCTCCAAGTACAGTAGCAGCGTGTGACGCCTCTGTTATGTTCACATGTTACCTCGTTGTATCTTGTAATCAGTGGTTGTCTTGAAGCTATTGTGGTGGTACCATCCATCTTGAGGTAGGAATACTTTTGGGCTCTAAGGAATACTTCGAGTATGTGCAGCATCTGTTGGGAGTTGGGGGATAAGAGTTTTCAAATCAAAGACACACTCCTAGTGAGTGCTTCTATGTTTGTGTCACACCCTCCCCAACAGGCCTATGTTAAAGGGGGTTTCTTATTTTAAGGCAGATAAATATACTGTTACAAGAGTATTTTTGGTATTTCCTTATGGCTAATTCTTACAATTTTTTTTTTTTTTTTTTGAGACAGAGTTTCGCTTTGTTGCCCAGGCTACAGTGAGTGCCGTGGCATCAGCCTAGCTCACAGCAACCTCAAACTCCTGGGCTCAGGCAATCCTTCTGCCTCAGCCTCCCGAGTAGCTGGAACTACAGGCATGCACCACCATGCCCGGCTAATTTTTCTATATATATTAGTTAGCCAATTAATTTCTATTTATAGTAGAGATGGGCTCTTGCTCTTGCTTAGGCTGGTTTCGAACTCCTGACCTTGAGCAATCCGCCCACCTCGGCCTCCTAGAGTGCTAGAATTACAGGTATGAGCCACCGTACCCCGCCTAATTCTTACAATTTTTACAAATAGCCTGAGCTCAGGCCCAAATTCACCTGCATACCAGAATCACATGGTGAGATTTTTTTAAAAAGTCAACTTCTGGACACCACCAGAGAAAGGCCAAACTCCCAAAGAAGTCTAGAGGCTGCCACCTGAGCATCTGCAGTAGACTTTCTTTAGAATCATTATTTTAGATTATATCCTGACTTTTGAAGTAATGAGTGTAACTCATAAAGAACCCACTTGTCTCTTGCACGAGATTTATACACTCACCTGTCTCGACTGAGAAAACAGCAATACTCGTTGACCCTGCTTGTGCCATATTTTCAACAAAGACTCAACAACAATCATTTTCCCAGAACGTTTCCAGTATCCAAACTGATCTTCTTCTTCTAGTTCATCTTCCGGAAGACCCTTGAGATTCTTGGTACCTCCAGAAAAGAGATCAGGGTGGTTGCAAATTTTTCTTAGGGCAATAAGTCCAGAGAAAATCTACGGCATGAAAGAACCACATATGTACTCAGATTACCCCAGGTAAAATGATACTCGGGAAGGAAGGGGAGGTGGCTATCCATTACATACAATTATTACATATACTACATATATTAAATATACAGATTAAAAGTAACCTTTCACCAGCTTCTCAGTTTCTTCCCTAATCACAGTGTTACCAGGAGCTGGAGGAAATTAACTTTCACTCATCTTCTTTCTCTGACAGGACAAGTTCTCTGGAAACAAAAAATTCTATTGGACTGAACAGGTTTATAGGGGTCATATTTAATGTCTGATAATTCATTTTCCCTCACTAGAAAAAAATGTATGCAATTCACAACAATATAAACTTGGTATCAAAAACTGACTTACCTTTTAAATATAGATCAGAAATGTCATATGAACCTAAATTCGGAAGAATCAGTCGTGTGACTTATCAAATGCATTTAAATATCACACTCCTAAGTATCTCACTAAAAGTTCTGTAGTTTTAATACAAGTCAGAGGTTACAGTTTCATTTACCTATACATTATTATATCAGAAAACAAATTTGCACGAAAAATTAAAAAATGGGAAAGATGCAAAGGATGGTTCATGCAGCAGGAGAGCACAAGAGATCAGAGATGGTGTCCCCGCCCCCAAGCCATGCAAGCAGGATGGCCTTAACAAAACTTGAATAATGGGGCTCTTTCACAGCTTACAGAGTATGACTCAAATTAAACTCACTGCTATAAAAACTCAAGTAGAAAAAGAGAAATCATAAATTAACCCAATAATCAAAGGGTATGATAGCTGTAACTATAAACAACCGTTAAGCAAATTACCTATAAAAGATCTGAATAAATCAGAAACATTGTCAAAACTCCCCAAAAAACTCCCCAAAACTCTCCAAAACTCCCCAAAACTCCCCATTTGTAACTGATTTTTCTTCCTTTCGATCTGCACTGTCCGATGCAGTAGATGCTGGCCACATATGGCTACTGAGCACCCAAGGGTGGCTAGTCCAGACTGAGATATGTTGCAAATGGAAAACACACACTTCATTTCAAAGACTTACTACAAAGAAAAGCACCTGGATGTCATGCACACAGGCAGCCATGTCACCCCATTCTTCTCTTCATCTACCTACGAGCATGGAGCACGCTAGCATGTACGTCCGAGCACACAGTGCTACTCGGTTGCGCTCCAATGCGCACAGAGCAAGGACCACAGGCTCAAAGGGCAACATGAATTGAGGGCACGCAAGCACGTGCTCACTGCAGGAAGGCCTGACACCAAATGGACTGGCTTCCTAAGGTCTATTCTGAAAGCACCCCACAAAAACAGCTCTGCCCAAGATGACAGCAAGGAGGGTGTGTGCTAGATCACCGTGGAATTTCCTTGGCCCTAGGAATCTTACATGTCACATTAGTAAGACACAACTCACATTTTAAGACACTGACATACAAAAAAGGGAACAGTTTACCTATAGCTGTAGACTAAATACTGATTATAAACTTACTGCATATGCTTACTGAACAGACATACACCCATATTTGGTACTGAGCATTGCTAAGAGCTAAAATGTCATTACCTACAGAAAAATCCATAAAAATGATTCTTCCTCAGTGTGCTCACATGCCCCAGTGTGTGGGCTGTCCCTCTACATTCTGCATGAGACCACTAGTCCCTGCAGGACTCATCACTGCAGATCCTGTCATTCAGCGCTGTTCTTCTAATGGACCACACAGCCTGGGCCTCAACGGCGACAGTACTTCAGGGACTGACGGAAAGGCAGTGGGCCAAAATTTAATCATGCGCTCTCTTACTTCCAGAAGGCCTTCAAATTCAGTGAGGGTTCTCACTGAAATGTTTTCAAGAGGGTCACAGGGAATCCCTGGCCCAGTGGCAGCATATGCCATCTGAGTAAAATGATGCCCAGCTTCCAGCACACTTGCCTCAGCCGGCCCATGATGCTTCCATCAACTGTGCAGTCCCAGCAACTCATTCTCATGTCAATGCAGTGGCACAGGTGTTCCAAAAGCCACATTCTACCAGACTCACAGTGTATACATGACGGAGCTTTTCAAAGAAGACACTATCTAGTAACTTCTGAATTCTGGGCAATAGCAGAAAGAGAGTTTTCTCAGTATAAGGAACAGAATGACCATAAATAAATTCCTTTCACACACTGGGGACAATGAGAATTAAAGCCAAAAACATCTGAACCAGAATTCTATCTGGTTTTTAACATCGTAGTGGTTCATAACCGTTTATTAGGGTATGGGCTCCTTTAAGCTGAAGAAACTTAAGAATCCTCAGGATCCTCTTCACACAATATGTCATTTGGTCATAATTTCTGGGAAACACCCTGACACCAACCCACCTGCATATAAGAACCTCGGGAGTAACAGCAACTACACAGGCTGGTGGTCACACGTGCGTCTGGGTTGCAGTCTCACAGCTCACGGCTCTGCCGCCTCCCACCAGTCAACTAACTCCTTTGTGCCTTGTGCCTCTGACTGTAAGCTGACCCTGCATCTACCGTCAGTGAACTGCCCTCATGTGACAGGCCTGGCACATTCTAGATCCTGGTTTCCTTTCCTCCCACACTTCCCTGGGCACAGTTCATTTCTCCAACTCTTTAGCTGACCTGCATGTCTCCATTGAGAATCCTGTACACTTCTTTGGAATCAACGAAATTCTGGTAGACTTTAAGCTGCTCATCTGTAAGACGGCAAAATAAGACCTACAGGGGGAAAAACAAAGAAACTGTAATTTCAAAAAAAAATTAACAGAATAAAATAATTAAAATATCAACAAAATGTCCTAATCAGAAGAGCACACAGTATGCAATTTTAACAATGCACCTCTTATTAAAACAACAAAGACGACAATACCTCTCATGGCTGAACAGAGAGCACAGTCCAACCTGCTCACCAGCCCCTCCCCATCTCCGTCACCCATCCACCTCCTGGCCCACCCCACTGCCCCAACAGTTCTTGAAGACTGGCTTCCTCTGCACCAGCAAGTTCAGGCCCAGGTACAGACCACCCTCCATGCCAGCCTCAATGTACTGGAACCAACCCACACCTCCTGTGACCCTCACCCATGCTCTCTACTCTGCAGACCTGACCAGGGACCTTAACCTCACCTGGAATTCTCCCCTGCCTGGAGCTCTAAGTGCAGGCCCACAAGTTTACCAGGCTTGCCTTGGACGGCACTCTGACCCTCCAGCCCCACTGCACCAACCACTCTGCGCCATTGTGCTCTCTGACTCTCAACCCCTCTCCTTCTACAAGTCCACCACCACCCCTCATGGCTTGATTTTCTTCCTTGGCCTGTCATGTTCCCACTGGATGTTCCTTCAGCCACCCCTCTGCCACCCACGTGGACCCTTTTCAACCCCCTGCGCCTGCCCTGTAAACTTCCAAATGCCAATCAGCTCAGCCATCTACCTTCTCTACTCCTGGGGTCAGTGCTGAGCACTGCTCGAAAACAGCCCCCTTGGTGGCATCCTGCCACCGCCTGCTCTTGCTCCATGGGGTCCTCCATGCACACCCTGCCCAGTACCTCCCACAAGCCCAGGATGGCCACACAGGCACTGCCCACTGCCCAAGCAAGCTACCCACCCACCTTTGTCTCAATCTCTACTTAAAACCAGCAAACAAACAAAAACAAAACAATGAAGATCAAACCCGAAGCTACCAGAATCAGGCATGATTCCCTAGTTTTCACTCCCTGAAACATCTCTACTTCTCCACCCACTCTGCCTCATTTCCTTTACTCCCACAGGAAGAGGTTCCCATACAGGATCAAGGGCAACCCTTCAACCTTTGCACTGGATCTGAAAACCGGCTCACCTTCCTCAGCACAGTGCCCACCTATCAGACTCTCCAAAAGCCGGTGGTGGGGGTGACCCTGAGAGAACAGTGTACAGCCCCCCTCTCCACTTCCTCCCACCAGTCAGGCCTCAAGCCTGCACCCAGCGCACGCCTGCCCAGCACCTCCGCTGATGCCACTGGAGCTCTTCTGGACGCCGGCACGGACAACCTCCCAGCTGCCGCACACACCAACCAGGCTCCTCCCAGCAACCCCACTTACCCGTGCTCTGACACCCACGCCTCCAGGAGTCTTCCCCTCAGCCCTCGTGCTCACAGCCTCAGCTCCAGCTCCCAGCCCACTCCTCTTCCTCTTCTCTCCCGTCACACACTGTTGCTCTCCCGGCTGCCCTCTCCGCTCACCTGACCCGTCCTCCGCGGGCAAACCTACGCCTGCTCAGAACTGTAACGCCACCCCCGCTCACTGCCAGCCTGCAGCTCTCCTCAGAGCTCCAGACCCATTTACGACGGACTCTGGGCAAGTGGAAGTCCCACGGGCACTTCAAATATACCCTCAATTAAACTCTTCAGCCGTTCCTGTCAAGCTGTGTCCTTTTGAAACGCCTGCTGTGGCGGGTCCCTCCCAGCATCTGAGCCAGGTGCCAGCCCTGCCTCTTCTCTCCAAGGACACGCAGGACCAGCTAACGCATCCTTTTGCCTCCATTTTCCTTCCCTCCTGATGCTTTCGTATGCTCCCCGAGAAACCCTTCTAAAACATGAACCTGAAGGGGTTTATAATTCTTATTCTCTTAAGTTCGTACGTCAGTCCTTTACCCATAATGACAACAGAGAAAAAAAGCCTTTCCTCTCAAGCACAAAGTTAACTGAACAAATTATTCGCCATGTGCCTAGTCCCTGCCAATCATCCTGGCAGGTGTTAAACAGATTCTTAGATAGGTCAAAGTCCCAACCTCCAGGGGTTCCTGTCTAGTAGACAGCCCAGCAGAATCTTAAAGGGGATGTCTGTGTGTTTGCTGTGGGTGCAGTAAGTGTGGTAAAGCCTCCAGATGGAGGGGACACCACGTGCCCATGGAAAGAAACACATGTCTGGAACACAGGAAGCGGCGTGCCTTGGCTACGGACCAGAGTACAAGGAGACACGTGGGGATGCCACAGTGAACTAAAGTGGTGAAAATGAGCTAAGTGGTATTCTTTAGTAGGCAGCGGGGTGACAGGCAGCAAAGGTATGCAGATAAGAAGATGAGCCTTGGAAAAAGCAATCCAGCAACCAGGTGCAGAACTGAATAGAGTGGGGGGCCCCAATGGCTGGGAGGCTGCACTGATTTATAAGGACAGCCACAGCATGTGAAACAGAGCGAGAGTGGGAATGAAAAAGGACAGAGCGAAAGGACAGAGGGAAAAATGACAGAGTGAAACCCCAGAGTAACGGGCTGATGTGGAATTAGAGAAGCTCAGAGGACTACAGCCCGAGAAACAGGCAGGAAGCGGGAAGCTTTAAGGGGAATGCAAAGTAAAAGCACTAAATTCGGACATGAGTTTGGGAAGAGGCTGGGATGAAAGCAGCCTCGATGACAGATGTTCATGACTGTTTAGTTTCAAAGTTCAGAATCTATGATGTGTTTACTTTGGGGCACTGAGGAGAGGGTGCAATAGTCTGTTAAAATTACAAAACACCAGGATGGAACCGAAAAGGATAATCCTTTAACGACTACTCCCCTGCTCAGTACTTTCCCATGAAACTGCTCCTCAGTCAGAGTGAAATCTACAGTCTCCGCATGCCCAGCAGGCCCCTGGAACACAGCCTCCAGCAGGCAATCCGATTTCCTCCCCTGCCTCCCTGCTCCCAGCTCCCAGCCCTGCCCACGCCGGCCTTCCTGCTGGTCTGCGGATGTCCCAGTGTGCTGCCACAGTCCACCCCCTGGAATGCTCTGCCTCCAAAATTTGTATGACTTGCTCCTTCCCTTCAGGCCTCTGCTCCAATGTCAGTTTATCGGAGCTCTTTTCTGACCACACATAAAAGGCCTGATTCCTCAAATCCTTGCCTCAGCAATCCCAGATTATCCTTCAACCCTGCTTCATTTTTCTCCATACTTATTACCACATGACATCATCTGCATTTATTTGTGACTCTCTTTCCCCCTCAAGAATAAATTTGAGTTCCAAGAGAACAAAACTTGCTTTGTTCACTGCTATGTCCCAGAGCCTGAGCAGGGATCCTCAAACTTTTTAAACAGGGGGCCAGTTCACTGTCCCTCAGACCGTTAGAGGGCCAGACTATAGTTTAAAAAAAAACTATGAACAAATTCCTATGCACACTGCGCATATCTTATTTTGAAGTAAAAAACAAACGGGCAAAACACCCGCATGTGGCCTGCGGGCCGTAGTTTGAGGACGCCTGGCCTAGAGTCATGCCAGGCCATGGCTGGCATCTAATACAATCTGGAATGTGAATGAACTGAGAGTTTAAGGAAAATGGAGACATTTAAAAGTAGTAGCTGTGGGAACCCCTGTATTAATAAGATGAAGATCAAAGCCTGTGGACTAGAAAAGAATCCACTGAGGGCAGACACCACAGCAGGGCCACCAGCCCCACACAGGTGTACCCAGTCAGGGACCAGCCCAGCAGCAGCTCCAGGACCACACCTATCAGCCGTGTCTGATTCTCTTGCAGGCACACCTGTGCTTTAGAAATGCTTTCTTAACTCCTGAATTTACAAACCTGTTCATTTTTATCAGGCAAAGACAGGCTCATCTTGACATCTGACTTCATTCTTCGTAATAGGTATGGATTTATGGTATCTCGTAAGACACATGCACACTTGTAAGCAGTTTTGACCTTTAATAAGAGAAAAAGGGGAAATGTTACTGTATGTTTAAGGAATGCATTTGTTCTTACCTCTCAACTGATTCCATTGCTTAAAAAAATAAAGGAATGACCAATGACTATAAAAATTGGTTAGAAATGATTGGAAAATGGTTTGGAAAAGGTAGCATAAGTTCCATATACTCCAGAAGGTGGCAGCTTTTATAATAATATCATCAGTAAAAAAAAAAAAAAAAAAAATTAATCTATTTAACAGAAACGTACAACCAAAAAAACCCTGATAATTTTGTGCCTTATTCCTCTTCTATGTTTTGCTTAAATTATTATATAATTAAAACCTAAAGTAGAGATTTATTTGGTTCCTGACCACCCTCTAGGGGAAAAGCCACTTTCACACGAATCTCTGCTTATGATCTTATATTCTCCAAAAGCTACAAAGGAGCTGTTACTCTACAAGACTGAAGATCAAAAGCTAACTCTGCGGAAAAGCTGCAGCAATGGGAGCAACCAGCCAATAAGCAGAGATTACTGCCCACTGGAGACTTGCGAGAATAAGTACAAGAAGAGCCCTCTGATCCCAGAAACGAAAGGTCACTCTGCCCTAAAATGGAGCATATGGCTCCTTAATGGAGCATGGCCACATGAGATGGGCACTAACTGTATGCAGAAAAACAAAGACCTGCCCAGGAAGCCACTCCATCTGCAATTCACTTAAAGGGAAACAATTCAATAAATTACTGATACTTAGAAAAAAATCTAAATAGGCTTAATAACTTAGTAAATTGCTATTTCATAGAAAAAAAGTTCTAACCAAGTTTAAATTTCAGAAAGTCAGCTGTAAAATGATCATAACAAGAGCCTGACCATACATAATACATACAGAAAAACTCAAGTTAAAAAAATTAACATGTTGGCCGGGTGCGGGGGCTCACGCCTATAATCCTAGCTCTCTGCGAGGCCGAGGCATATCGCTCAAGGTCAGGAGTTCAAAACCAGCCTGAGCAAGATACCGTCTCTACTAAAAAAAAAAAAAAAAAAAAAAATGGCCAACTAAAAATATATAGAAAAAATTATCCAGGTATGGTGGCACATGCCTGTAGTCCTAGGTACTCAGGAGGCTGAGGCAGGAGGACTGCTTAAGCCCAGGAATTTGAGGTTGCTGTGAGCTAGGCTGACACCAAAGCACTCTAGCCCAGGCAACAGAGTGATTCTGCCTAAAAAAAAAAAAAAAATTAACATGTTAAAAAAGAAAACACTTTAGGCCGGACGCGGTGGCTCACGCCTGTAATCCTAGCACTCTGGGAGGCCGAGCGGGCGGATTGCTTGAGGTCAGGAGTTCGAAACCAGCAAGAGCAAGACCCCGTCTCTACTATAAATAGAAATAAATTAATTGGCCAACTTATATAGAAAAAAAAATTAGCCGGGCATGGTGGTGCATGCCTGTAGTCCTAGCTGCTTGGGAGGCTGAGGCAGGAGGATTGCTTGAGTCCAGGAGATTGAGGGTGCTTTGAGCTAGGCTGACACCACGGCACTCACTCTAGCCTGGGCAACAAAGTGAGACTCTGTCTCAAAAAAATAAAAAAAATAAATAAATAAATAAACACTTTAAAAGACCCTAAGAACACCTCACCCAAGTCTGTATACATCATGTATTAATATATGTGTGTGTGTGAATGTAGTACATAAATATAAAACTCAGGGTTTACTTGAAGTAACAGACAACAAAGGAGCTCATGTAATCAACAACTTTTAGTTGCATATAACCCCTTAAATATTTCATTCATGGATAAAAATTCATGGATAAAAAAAATTTAAGATGATGATGAGGTACATATTATGATTTCTGATGCAAAGAGAATGAAATTCTCCAGCAAAGAGAATGAAATTTCAGAATTTAACATTTAATGTTACCGTGCAACCAAGGGAGCAAGTATACGCGCAGTATGTTAAGGAAACCGTCCCACACCCTCCCTCTGCCCATGCTTTTCCCCAGAAGATGAGTACACTGGATGGGCTGAGCTTGCGAGTGCCCTGGCCGCTGGGCTACTGCTCCCTCCTGCGTGATGATCTTATATTTAATTCCCACTGGCTCCAAGTCTGTTTCTTAGTTAGTAAAAACACAAGGAGGAAATCCATTTGGATTTCTCTATCTATCCCAATCTCCCCAAGGCTGTGGAAAGCAGACACCTCGCTGAGCACGCCCACACTTCTTCCTATTCCTCCAAACATGGAGCTTGGCCTCTTCCAGAGCAGAGTGACCTTAGGCAAGTTGCCAAAATGCTGAGTCTCAACAACCTTAGGCATGAAATGAGAAGGTTCAACTAGACATCCTGCAGTTTCTTTTCAGTTCAAACACTCTCTGCCATAGCAGAGCAAACCAGTCCCAGCAGCAGTCTGCACCTGGGCTGCAGATGCTTCCCCCTCACCTTCCTCCACCTTTTAGGCCTGGGATTAGTTGTTTCTTCTCCAGCAATCCTTGCTTGAGCCCCACAAGCTCTGATATTGAGTATCTTCCCTTGTGACAGACCTCAGGACCCAGTACCAGGCCCATGTTTATCTGCCACTTTCCCCTAGCCAAACCCCCACTCAACTAGGAATACTAGTCCAGCCCCCTCCCATCATTTTAGCCCCAGCTTGACACACACAAAAAAATACCTGCAGACAGACAATCTTCTAAAGATTCAGTTACACATGGCAACCACCAGTTAAACAAAAAGTAGCAAAATAAAACCAATACCTCTGCTCCCAAGGACCTTACCACCTAATGGGAAAAAAGATAAGTACACAAACTCCTGAAATAAGAACTTCAAGGAATAATCAGACCATAATGACATATTCCCAAAGCAATTCTCCACAAATGACTTATTAATTCCAAAGGAGAAGTGGTTACTTCACAGAGCTTTGAAATCTGGCCAACACTATCTCACTTAAGTAATCAGAATTAACAGCACTAACAATGGGACAAACTGACAGCATGTACCTCCAGATACCATGCGCTCAGAAAAGTGTACCGCCTCTGCAGTATCCTGCTAGAGATGCATCACCCAAATCCCATCTTGAAGAAATGTACGGCAAATCCAAGCTCAGGTACGTTCTACAAACTAACAGGTCTGTAGTCTTCCAAAATGTCAAGGTCATGAAAGGCAAAAGACAGATCAGAGGAACTGCTGCTCCAGATCAATGATGACTAAAGAGACACAGAAACTACCAGGATGACTGGAAAAATGTGACCACAGATTAGATAATGGAAATATATCAATGTTAAATTTTCTGATTTTGATGGTTTACACTGTGGTTATGTCTGAGATGTCCCTGTTCTTAGGAATATACACTGAAGAATTTGGAAGAAATCCAATCCTCCAACCCAATCATGTCTGCCAGTTACTCTTAGAAGATTCAGAGAAAAATAGCTTTAATTTGTGTACATATATACAGGGAAATGGGGGAGAGGGAGGGAAGGAATAACGCAAATGTGGCAAAATGTTAGCAAAATGCTAATAATCAGTGAATCTGGATAAAGTGTACATGGGAGTTTTTTCACAATTTTTGAAACTTTTCATTAAGTTTTAAAATATCTCAAAATAAAAAAACTGTTTAAAAAAAGAATGGTATAACTGAAGGGATTCAAAGAAGTGCTCACAAAAGTTAATCAAAAATCATTCAATCTCAAAATGTAAAAGACATTAAAATTGTTTTTGACAATCCTCTTAAAGGTCTAAAATTCATTTTCTAATTAAATATTTCAAAACAGGAGACTGTCGCTTTTGGTGGAAGACCTGATCCCTGGCTCAGTCAGTCGTGGGCTGGCAGGCGGAGGCCAGCCTGAGGGCTGCGCACGCACCCTGCCGCCTACACTGCTGGAGTCTGCCCCGCAGCCCACACACCGCCCTCAGGCTGGCTTGTCTTCCCGCCTGTGACAACCCATTCCACCACCACCCAGGCCTAACGCTTCCGGGCTCAGCTGCAACAAGCTCACCACTCCCACCCCATTTCTTGGACCTCATCAGCCTCTACGCCTTGTTTGTTCTGCCTAAAAATGCCATCTGGGTCTCCCACTCCCATCTTTCCCAGACCACCACATCCAGGGCCAGGTTCCCACCACTCTCATCCCAGGAGCTTCCACAGGCTCCTCAGTGCCAGCCTCCCTCCAGTGACTACTCTGCAGCCTGAACAACCCCCACAGCCACCATCTCCACCTCGCAGCGTCCTGCTCAGACACCCACAGTGGCCCAGCCCTCCCTGAGTGCTCCCTTTCAAGGCTGGCCAGTCCCAGCACCCACAGCTCTCCAGCTACGTCCCCACCCCACAGCATCCCCAAGCCAGTCACGTGGGTCTCTCCACTGCCCTCAGCCACATATGGGCCACATTCATGCTACTGCCCTAATCCAGAATGCCCTCGCACTTCATGGCCCATTTCCCCAGAATCAGGGTAAAGGATATGTGTCTCATTAAGTCTTCCCTGAACAATCCAATCCTCCCTGGTGTCCCCTTTTCTAAGTTTCTCCACTAGTTTTTAAGATGCACTACCTGGCCGAGCAGAGTGGCTCACACCTGTAATCCTAGCACTTTGGAGGCTGAGGCAGGAGGATTGCTTGAGACCAGCCTGAGCAAGAGCGAGACCCCATCTCTACAAAAAAAAAATTTGAAAATCAGCTGGATGTGGTGGCAAGCATCTATAGTCCAAGCTACTCACAAGGCTGAGGCAGGAGGATTGCATGAGCCCAGGAATTTGAAGTTGTGGTGAGCTATGACAACACCACTGTACTCCAGCCTGGCTGACAGAGCAAGACCTTGTCACAAAAAAGGGGGAGGGTGGGTGGTTCTGAGTCTTACGACACCCACCCCAAATGGTCATCAAGAGAAATAAACTTTAATCTTATAGAAACCACACGAAACTTAAAAAAAAAATACACTACCCCAATTTGCAGAACTGAATTGTATGCTGTCCAGAACTAATTGATTTGTTTCATATTCTGACTGCTCTTCCAACCAGACATGACATTTTATGTTTATTTCTTATCTGACTGAAACAATCCAGGAACAACTAAAACTGAAACTGTTTAATTTCTATTATGCAAAGAGAAGTTATTTATTCTAGGGCTTTCCTCTAAACAAATATTTCTCATGATTTTTTTTTTTTTTTTTTGAGACAGAGTCTCGCTTTCCTGCCTAGGCTAGAGTGAGTGCCGTGGTGTCAACCTAGCTCACAGCAACTGGGCAGCAACTCAAACTCCTGGGCTCAAGCGATCCTCCTGCCTCAGCCTCCCAAGCAGCTGGGACTACAGGCACGAGCCACCATGCCCGGCTGATTTTTATATTATATATATTAGTTGGCCAATTAATTTCTTTCTATTTTTATGGTAGAGACGGGGTCTCGCTCAGGCTGGTTTTGAACTCCTGACCTTGAGCAATCCGCCCGCCTCGGCCTCCCAGAGTGCTAGGATTACAGGCGTGAGCCACTGCGCCCGGCCATGATTTTTTTTTAAGTGAAAAAATATGATCAAACAAAAATAATTTTGTGATTTTTACCAGATACCAATTTATAAGCTTGGCCATTTTTCTTACATTCTGAATGACTTGGCCAAAAAGTATAATATTTAGCAAGACCATTTAAAATATTAACTGCCAAAGTGTTATCTGCCTAATACATTACCTGCACCGGTGAAGCGTTTGAATACCCCCCCATGGTGATGGGGACAGAAAACTGCTCCATAAACACAGGCAATGTGCCTAACTTTCCAGGGAAGACAAAGTCGAAGAGGGACCACAGCTCTCGGAGGTTATTTTGCATCGGTGAGCCAGACAAGATGATCCGATGAGGGGTGCGGAACTATTTGAGGAGAAAATATCTTTGTTACATCCACTTTCTAACAGATGATCACCATCCCTACCCCCAAACACTCTCATGCAATACTGTTATTTAACACATTCATTCATTATTTCGGTTCCTGCATCATTTTGGTCCTCTCCAAAACACAGACATCTTATGCAATCATAACTCTTCAATTACATGTAGATGAAAAAGATAAAGGGGAAGAATTTTTTTCTTATTGTTCAAGCTGAATACTATGGATTAGAGTTAGATTCAGTTACATTCTAACAACTGACCCCTAAAAGAGACATTAAGTAATGTGAACAATCGAATTTAAAAATATGATTATGGGCAAAAATAAAGAATTTTCTGCATTAGGCAAAATGTCTATTTTTAATTCTTTATGAAAGGCACAAAGAAAGATTCAATAAATGTATTACTAAATGCAGGTACAGGTAGTTTCCTCTGAACTAAATACTATTATTCTCCACCTGGAAATCCCCCTTGTTATGAGAGGTCGTACCTGTTTGCAAGCAAGGGTGACAGCAGCATTTGGATTTCGAATTTTGTGTCCTTCATCCAAGATCACATAGTGCCAGTCATACCTGCTAATGTCATCCTGCATCAGTCGAATGTAGGAGTAAGATGTGATCAAAATCCCGTGACAATGAGCAATATCTCGAATTAGGTTCTCCTAAAATCATAATAAAATGATAAAGCCAAATTTAAACAAGAAGTGAAATTAAATGAGCATGACTTAAAATGACACCTTGTCAATCATGACAGAATCTAAAGCACGTTATTAAAATGTACAAATACAAACAATACATATAATACTAATTATACATTATCAGGACTGGAAGTGTACTTTACATGTTGTCAACCTGGATGATAGTAAACACTAATATAGCCACTACTGGGGGGAGGGTGTCTCAAAAAAAAGATGAGATAGTTATAATATGTAAATACTTACCTTTTATTTTTTTCAAAACATTTTTTGTGTCCATCCTTGTTACAACTTCAAACAAGGTGGATGAAAAATGATATATTACTTTAAAACAAAAGAAAATGGGAGAAAATGCAAGGAACAGGAATGGAAGACAAATCCAGGAGCTCTAACAACGTGTAACATGAATTCTAGGAGAATAGAGTAGAAAGGATATAAAGCAATGATTTTTAAAATGGGGGGGAAAAAACACATAAACTGAGGTAAGACTTGAGTCTACAGTACAAAATGTCCCAGAGAGTATCAGGCAGAATCACTGAAAAAAGACATACTCCTAGGCATATCCTACCAGATGTCTAAATTCCAAAAATAAAGAAAAATGAAGAGAAAATGCCATAGCTTCTAATCAGAACAAAACAGAAAAAGAAGATTCCCTTCAGAGAAAAAAGACTCTGCTTGTAACAGACATCTTTTCAGCAAGATTAAAAATGTCAGAAGGCAAAGAGAAAAATCTTTACATAATTCTAAGGGGGAAAAAATGGCAATCCTGGAATTCTGCATCAACCGAAACTAGCAATCATGCTTGACAGAAAAAAAAATTACTCCAGCTTCAGACAGGTAAGGACAGAAAATGAGTCACCAAAAGACTGGCTAGCTACCATATGCCGGACACAGCAATGAGCGGCGCAGTCATGGAGGAAGAGGGAGGCGTGCACAGACCCAGTGCTCCGCAGAAGAGCCAACGGCAGAGCTCCCACCCTGCACACTGGCCAGAGTGCCAGAGCTGCTCCAAGAAAGGACAGAGGGAATGAAAAATCTGGGGCTTCAAGATAGTAACTAATGTACCAGGTCACGCAGCTGGAAAGTGATGGAGGAGTCAGGATTCAAATGTAGAAAGGTAGCCAACTCCAAAGTTAAGACTATCGAATATTAGGCTACACTGTCTCTTACTAAACTTTAAAAAGGAAACTTTAAAAAGGAAAAGTTGACTGGGCACAGTGGCTCACATCTGTAATACCAGCACTTTGGGAGGCCAAAGCAGGAAGATCACTTGAGGTCAGAAGTTCAAGACCAGCCTGAGCAAGAGCAAGACACATCTCTACAAAAAGCAGAAAAATTAGCCAGGCATCGTGGCCCACACCTATAGTCCCAGCTACTCAGGAGGCTGAGGCAGGAGGATCCCTTAAACCCAGGAGTTTGAAGTTGCTGTGAGCTGTGATGACGCCACTGTAGCTGGGATGACAGAGCAAAACTGTCTCAAAAAAAGTAAAAGGGAAACCTATATGTAATATACATACCATTTGTTAAAATAAGTTATTAAAACATAATAATTAAGTCTAAATATTAAACACTTTAAAATATAAATGAAACTGTTAAGAAAGGATCTAAAATATTAAAAGGCATATATTTTTAAGTGTTACTGTAATTCCTATTTGGTTTAATAAAACTTGGAGTGAAATTAGGGGAAAAATAAAAGTGGATTAAAAATCCTACCCTGTCCAAGGGTGGAATGGGGTGGGATACAAGTAGAAGATACTGTTGAATTCTTTTTCTTTTTTTTTGAAACAGTCTCACTGTTGCCCAGGCTACAGTGCCATGGCATCAACCTAGCTCACAGCAACCTCAAACTCCCGGGCTCAAGCAATCCTTCTGCCTCAGCCTCCTGAGTAGCTGGGACTACAGGCAGGCGCCACCATGTCCGGCTAATTTTTTCTATATATTTTTAGTTGTCCAGCTAATTTCTTTCTGTTTTTTAATAGAGATGAGGTCTTGCTCTTGCTCAGGCTGGTCTTGAACTTCTAAGCTCAAAAGATCCTCCCACCTTCGCCTCCCAGAGTGCTAAGATTACAAGTGTGAGCCACTGCGCCCAGCTGATACTGTGTAATTCTTAACCTCAAGAGAAAAATACATTAAAATATACTTGTCAAAATGTAAGGCTGGCTGGGCGCGGCGGCTCACACCTGTAATCCTAGCACTCTGGGAGGCCAAGGTGGGAGGAATGCTCGAGGTCAGGAGTTCGAAACCAGCCTGAGCAAGAGCGAGACCCCGTCTCTACTATAAATAGAAAGAAATTAATTGGCCAACTAATATATATAGAAAAATTAGCCAGGCATGGTGGCCATGCCTGTAGTCCCAGCTACTTGGGAGGCTGAGGCAGGAGGATTGCTTGAGCCCAGGAGTTTGAGGTTGCTGTGAGCTAGGCTGATGCCATGGCACTCACTGTGCAACAAAGCGAGACTCTGTCTCAAAAAAAAAAAAAAAAAAAAACAATGTAAGGCTATTACTGATTAATAGTTGCTACATTCACATAAATACTAGAAAAGAAGCACACTGTAGAACTATCAAACGACTACAGCGGGAAAAGTAATAGAAAACAGCAAAAATCATGAAAATAGAAAACAGAAAATACAATAAAGAGAAGGTAAGATAGCAGATGTCAGACTAAACACATCAAGCAAGGGTTACCATATGACAGTGGGTCACTAACAGTGAGACTTTCCACTGGGTACGGCCTCGTGTTTAAACTGTGGCCTCATGTTTAAAACCAGGTTGGCACTGAAAGTTGAAATATGGAAATTACCAAAGATATGCCAAGGAAATAAAAAACAAAAGGAGGCAGCATTAGCAATATAAATAGCAGACAAAAAGAAATGAACAGAAAGGAGGACGTTTCATATTTGAAGGGGGACAGCACACTAGGAAAAGACGCAAAAGCAAAGCCCTCAGAGCTGCCTGGACAGGGACACACCCACAGCCTGCCTAGAGACCTGCCCTCGGCCTCTCTCAGAGAAAGAGATTAAGGAAACAAGTTTAAAACTGGGACACAAAGGAGTATCAGCATCAGGATGCCCTTTAACAGGGAAGGCGGGCCCCACCGGCAGGGTTAGACCACACAAAGAATACTCACTCATTCTTTACAAATACTCTATTAAGAGAGGCTGGAATCAAAAGGAGCAGTCAACTAAACCCACTAAATAAAGGAAAATGAGAGGATAAGATGAAAACGAAAACTAGTAAATCTTTTAGAAAAACCTGGTGGAACTGATAAAAAAATAAATAAAAAGCCTCTTTGAAAAAACCCAAACAAACCTCTAAAAAGTCAGCCCAAAGAACAGACTCAGATAAAAGGAACACAATCACAGATGTAGAGAATACAAAACTGTTAACCAACACTGCATGCCCCTAAATCTGACCATTTTGACAGAAGATGACACCACCTTCTATTTTTAGTTGAGATGGGGTCTTGCTCTTGCTCAGGCTGGTCTCAAACTCCTGAGCTCAACTGATCCTCCCACCTCGGCCCCCCAGAGTGCTAGGATTACAAGCGTGAGCCACCACAACCAGCTGGATTAAAATATTTTTAATTCAACAGAGTACAAAAAGGTACCATAAAGGCTAATAAATGAGCAAAGTAAAAAGGGAGAAATCACCTTCTCATGTGTCATAATACATTTGATATTCAAGGATTTAAGAAACTGCTTTAAAGAATAACCACAATGCCTGCTACCTATTAACGATTCGACAGGTGAATGTTGTATTATTATGGCTACTCTTCTTCCATCTTCCCGTTGACTAATTTCAATGCCAGCACAATACCACACTGCAGGCCACACCTGATGTAACCAGTTCCTTCTGGCCTTACGGGAATAGTGCAGTAAACACCCCAGGGTACACAGCCTTACAAACACACATACAGGTTCTGGCAGGACCTGTCTCCACCCCACTTCCCCAGACTACACTGCCACTACCTCACCACCAGCCCCACCTTGGCTGCTGGTGCCCAGTGAAAAAAAGTAGTCTGCCCCAAGAAGCACTCTCTACCTCTGACATGTTAGCCAGCCAGTCCCATGACTTTGAGAAGCCACAGTTTGATTTCCTTAGTTGCTCCACACCTGAAATTCCTACTGAGGCTCTGAGCAAGAAGCTAGCCTGACTCTGTTTCTATGTTCCCCTCCAGAAGAGGAGGGGCTGCCAGAAGCCATAGCAGCAGGTGGGACATGAGATGACAGCAAACTGAGACATGGGATGCTCCACACTTGGGTCCACTGTGAGCGCAAGGTGTGTGTGCACACAGAGAGAAAGTAAGGAGAACAACCACAACATTTCGGGCTGGAAATAGAAAAGTTCAATGATCACTCACATTTATAAAATGTCCACTGTATTACAGCCAAAGCCTGCAAATGTGGGTCCATTTGCTCATAGACCCTACAACTCCAAACTGCAGACTCGCCATGGTCATTCCATTTACCTCCAACACAACCACGAAGTGAATTCCAGACATCATTCAGTGTAGCTGGAGCATTACCAGTTAAACCAATGAGACGCCAAGCCTCTTGAAAGTATACCACTGCAACAATGTATAGCTAATTTTGCTTGTTTAAAGACTTAAGTTTATTTGGAAAATTCTGTAATGTTAGCTACAGAAATACAGAATTTCTACTGTGTTCAGAAAGATTTATAACGATTAACAAAAACGAAGACAATGCTTTTATAAAAAGAACAAAAAGCTGTTCAAAATGTCCCCATTGAAAGTGTAATCTCCACTTAACAGCCACTGGGTAAAAATACATCTAACACCATTTGTTTTCACCTGATTCAATCTCAGAATTCTATAACTGCCTAGACTGAGTTTCAATAATGGTGAATTGTTGAATATTACGGACGTCTCTATCCAAACACTTAAGACAAATCATCTCGGGCGGTTTCAAATTAAAAGCTTGTAAAATATGTAACCTCTCCTAGTTTTTGCAATTAATAGGGTACATCTGCAATTAGCCTGACTTACTGAATGTAGTGCTGTTGTCATTAAAAGACGTCTGTGAAAGTGCTGCTGTTATTATGGAGGCTCAGGAGACCAATCCCTCCTAGAGGGCAAACAGTGGACTGGTGGAAACAACAGCCATAAATCACACTGTCAGGCAGCGGGGAGAGCCGAGTGAAGCACAGGCACATGAAGGCCATTCACAGTAAACACAGCACGGCAGCTTCCCAGGCAGGATTTACTGCACCTGTAATTAATTAAAATTTCCTTCAAGCTAAATCTTTAATAAACAAGGATTTGTGCTGACAATGAGGGAAAAAAAAGGGCTCCAGCAACATAATTTTAAAATATACCTCACAGAACAAGCCCAGCATCTATCATTTCTTGTATCAGGTGTATACACTGACTCTAAAGTTAATAGGAATTATATCACTTTGCATTAGAATTTGTGTACTTGGAACAGGTCTGAAATATTTAAGATGCTTGAGGGACAATGCAGCCTCTTTTTATTTTTATTTGACATGTTTTTGACTCCCTTCTAGTTTTTTACAAAGACAAGTCTTTTTGCTCTAGGGTTTCAGAAAACAGGACTTCTCAAAGAACATGTGATAGTAGTTTCATCAGATGGCCAAGTTTTTGTGTCATTTTTGCTTTTTAACCACACACTGCACTTCCCGAAGTGAATATTAACATTCTATTTCACCGTTTCCATTTGGGGCCAACAGTACCTGGCCATGAGAAAAAAAAGGTCCCAGACACTGAATGACCATGAACATTTTGATGAAGCAGGTGTGTACCCTTTACCTAGAATAGATGATGAATCAATTAGCAACACTTCCTTTAGCATCTTTTCTTTTCCAGCTACATAGAGAAAGAAACCTACAACATTCTTTGTTTCTAACAATAAGAAGAATTGCCTGAGTAAATGTTATATATCAGGGACCACACTAAACTCTTCATGCATACACATTAACCCAGTAAATCCTCACAAAATTACAAAAAAGAAAAAGAAAAGAAAAAAAAAATGTTTTACAGGTGATCAAACCAGGCTCAGAAAAGCTAAGCGACAAGGTAACAAAGTTATTAAATGGCAGATCCAAGATTCAAACCTGGTCTGGTAAGCATAAAACCTATGTACTTAAATTATATACTATTGTTGCTTTTCCCACCTTATGCCTCTAAATGGCATGAATTAATCAAAAAGGGACAACTCTTTAAATTATCTAAAATATTACAGAATTACTAGATCCTACATAGCAAAAAATGGTGGCAGAAAGTGACAACTGTTTCATAAACAATTTCTCATTATACATCTTCCAACAAATTAAAAAAAGGATCCTTAATTGTTAAATAAACTTTACAACACAGTGCTAAAGATGCTACCCCTCACTGTGAGTTATGAGGTAAGTATCACAAGACTGCCTTTCTTTCATTATCTCTTCATATATTTTATTTTCTTTCCCCAAGAAAATCGTTGGCTTTTTTTCAAGGTTAGTTCAAAACACAGTATTCATTTTTTTGGAATCCTAACAACATTAAACACCTAGAATATAGTATTTACAGCTATTTGGCAAATAAACACTAATTGACTCACATAAAAGTTTTTCTATGTTGGAAAAAAGGGATCATAAAACATAATGAGAGAAAGAAAATCTTAGGCTCCTATTAAATGAGATTTCAACTGACCATAAAGGCGATTCGAAGCCTGAAAATGTCTTTATAAGATTTGATCATTTGGTTGAAACGATCAGATGTATTTATTTATATATATATATATATATATATATTGCACAGTTGCTGAGTGTGCACTTGACAATTCTAAATTATGCTACCAATCAAAGAGATTATTAACAAAGATAATATAGCATCAAAGCCAAAAGGAATTTGGGGAAGAATGGTAGATGCACTCTATACAGAAATTATTTGTTCATTTGGTATCTGCTTTCCAAATGAAAAATTTTCAAAATTTTATGCTATAGCACTACAACAAAGCATGTAGAAAATAAAGATAATCCAATAAGCAAAACAATTCTGGCATTACTCTTTTAAATATTTCTAAAGAGAAATATTTCTAAAGAAAAATCTTCCCGATTTTGTCCAGTGCTGAATATCCTTATGTCAGAGTGCCACTGTTAAATTTAGACAGGACAGCTAGTGGGAATGGAAAGCTCACCCATGGAAAAAAGAAATCTTAGCTGATAAGGAAGGAAAGGAAGTCAGGCATTAGATGCTGAGTTAGAAGACAGACTATCATTATTGACAGAATATTTGAAATATGAGTAAGAAACACAGACCCTATTGCAATCCAGCACACATTTGTAAGCCAGCAGGCGTGCATGGGGTGGTGACAAAGATCTAATACAGAGAGGAAAGGAAGGAGCAGGGGAACCACATGCCACTTGGGTGCTTGAATCCAGATGCCAGAGTTAAGATGTTTAAAAAGTCACTAATAAGGCCTGTATGAAGGAACTATTAATACATTTTAAATATGTCATCAACACAAACAATAAACTGACATTAACATTAATAAAAAATAATAAACTGTGTTTCTAAGTCAAGAATATGATTTAATAGATACAAAAAGTACATATTTTCTATCTTTTGCATAACAGCTTGCATCTTGAGAGATCTGAGATGCTTTATAATGGAAAAGGAACAGTAGAGAGTTAAGAGTTTGAGTAAAAACACAAGGAAACTTCAATACAGCTTTCTCAAAACTGATATAAGAAACTTCAAGTTAAACTGGTAAACTGTAAAGCACTGAAAAAATTATAATCAACCATGTGATGCATGTGTCCATACATGTAAAACCACCTCAGAAGGTAGAACCAATCAAAAGTGAAATATCTCCTCTTTCAGGTTTTGCCCTCCAAAAGAATGTTAAGAAAGCAAATTTCACCAACAACTTCACTGTCAATTCTATTTCCATTAATGAGTCAATGTATTTGGTTTACATGAAGGTAGTTCTTCAGATTATAAAAACAAAAGGACTGCAGATAAGCCCTGATCCAGGTGAAGGTGTGAAATACATGCACTTCACTACCTCAAAAGAAAATAAAAGGATAAAAAATAACATATGAAAAAATTCACCTTTATTTTTTTTTATTTATTTTTTTTTTTTGAGACAGAGTCTCACTTTGTTGCCCAGGCTAGAGTGAGTGCCGTGGCGTCAGCCTGGCTCACAGCAACCTCAATCTCCAGGCTCAGCGATCCTACTGCCTCAGCCTCCCGAGTAGCTGGGACTACAGCATGCGCCACCATGCCCGGCTAATTTTTTGTATATATATTTTTAGTTGGTCAATTAATTTATTTCTATTTTTGGTAGAGACAGGGTCTCGCTCAGGCTGGTTTCGAACTCCTGACCTCGAGCAATCCGCCCGCCTCGGCCTCCCAAAGTGCTAGGATTACAGGCGTGAGCCACCGCGCCCGGCCAAAAATTCACCTTTATAAGACAAATGTCAACCAATGATTCCTGCTACAGGATTTTGCAACACAAAACATTAAGAGATGTCACCAGATAATGGAAATGAAAGGAGAAATGTTTTAAAAGGGTGATGACAGGATAGTTACAATTTAGAGTTTGACTAGAAAACAATCTATACTGTTACTATTTTCATACTGCTGAAAATCACTTTTAAAAAAATCACAGCATTTACCTGACTTTATTAATTACCTTAATTCAGTTTGACTTCCATTTATCATTTAAAATTCTGGGAAAAGTCAGTTGGTAACAGTAACAGCTATTATAAACAAGGTTCCATCTTACCTTACTTGAGCTACCAAATTACAGATATTCCTGATTCACTTCCATCAAAAGTTCTACTTATAGCCAGGCATGGTGGTGCATGCCTGTAGTCCCAGCTACTCGGGAGGCTGAGGCAGTAGGATCTCTTAAGCCCAGGAGTTTGAGATTGCTGTGAGCTAGGCTGACGCCACGGCACTCACTCTAGCCTGGGCAACAAAGCGAGACTCTGTCTCAAAAAAAAAAAAAAGTTCTACTTACTCATGATCATGGACGTAACAAGAATTTGGAGGAAAAGAGGTACTGGAAAACTTACAGAGTTCTGTGGTTCCTATTTGGACACTTCATGGCCCTGGCACCCGGCAGTGCTTTCCTGATATAGGAGAGCCCACCTGAGAGCTCAGAACACTCAGGAAAGAAAGAATCAACTCCTAACAAGCTGCTACTTCTCAATAATGTAGCCTGCAAACCTACAGTGAAACTGTGTGATTGTTATTTGTTCAGCCAATGCTTAGGGGGTACTTGGGATACAAAAACAGACAGTCCATACCACCTAGATGGTGAGGCAGATAAGAAAAAAAGCAGAATATAATGTATCTAGGTTACTCACAGTAGCACAGATAAAGCTCCATTTTGATAATGTGACTGTTAACAAAACTAAAAGTGAAGAAATAAAACTTTCAAAATATGATAAGTATTCAGGGAACAAAACTCAACTAAAAAGCAACAATACTTATAAAATTAAAAAAATGGTAGATTGCTTCTATCATTCATCAAAACTTGTTTAAAAAGCATATTAACAAATGCACTTACCAATTAAGAGCTATTATATCACTTTTTCTATCCACCTTCCTAAAACTGGTGAAAGCTGCCAATGCCCAAGTCCCTGAAGTTACTGTTCTATAAGCGACCTGATTTATGATCCCACTCACACTTCCAGGTTAGGGTGTTGTCTATGCCCAGTTGTGTTTCACTGAACAACAAACATGTCACAACACCACCACAGATTATTAGAATGATAAAGCCTACATTCATAATTATTTTGAAAATACAGAGCACTCTAAAGTCAGTCAATAATAATAAAATAATTTTAAATGCATGAAAGAAACACAGGAATATACATTTGAGAAATACACAGATCAAAGAAAAACCAAATATGTAAAATGGGGGGCTTTAAAACAAAACAAAAAAGTACTGAAAATACTATAATGTTACCTTTTTGTGGGTACAGGAACCGGTTTCATGTAGAATTGCCACTCTGAACGGAGGCCACCACATGTGAAATTCTTTCACCCACTGATGCATCACCGTTGTTGGACAGACAATTACAGTTGGACCCAACCCTTCAAACCTGCACCCAAACATCCAAGAAGAAAACACAACCATAAGAGCAAACAGAGTGATCAACTGCCCAAAAAAAAACCCCAAAACAAAAAAAAATTAATGGTTAAAATAGGAGAATGCCAGCAATGGAAATTTAGTGATATTTCTTTAAAGGAAAACCTATTAAGGTCAAAACCTAGTAAGTGAAATTTCCATGATCCCATTCATCAATTAGTGCTGCCGTCCCCAGCCTCCAACCAGGCTTCAGACTGGTTAGGAGCCCAGCAGACAGGCTCTGCCTACCCTGCCACCCTCCAAGTCCGTGGAAAAACTGTCTTCCATGAAACTGGTCCCTGGTGCCAAAAAGGTGGGGTACCGCTGAATCAGTGGATGCAAGTATTAAGGGAAGACACTAAATAACACATTAAAATATAACAACTATAGTAACGTAAAAGAAAATCAAATGTTACTTAACAAAAATACATTCCTTTCCCCTTCTAGTCCAGATTAGTGAAGTTGAAGTCATTACACAGTAGATCTTAACCTATGTGAACCTAACAGCAATTAAGTTTGTTTGAAGCTTTCTTGTCTACTGAGAGTTTTCCACCCACAGAATTTCAATCCATCTTCATAGCCCCAGGAAGCAAGCAGGACAGAAATGCCTCACTGTTTGGGGGCTCCGAAGGCTGGAGTGACCCAGGCGACATGGTTCCCAGGGGACAGAGGAATGCCCAAAAATCAGCCTTCTCGTGGCTGCAGCCTGCCTTTACTACACCACGCTGCCCGCTCCTCTGTGCCATGTTGTCTCCTGAGAAGCCCCCGCCAAGGCGGTGAGAGCTGGCACTGCTGTGCGGAAAGCGGCTGAGCAGCACACAGCAAGGGCCTCAGCGGCAGTCGCATGGTGACCCAGTGATCCCAACACCAACACCTACGGACCAGGAGACCCACTGCAGCATGATTTCTGCTGTGGGAAAGCAGATGCCACCTGCATCATAGGTAAGAGGAGTGCTGAATAACTGTCCTTTAACAGCACTTGCCAGTGGCTGGGGCCACGGCCTGGGTCTGAATCCCGATTCTACACACTGACTGTGTGAGCTCAGGCACATTACTTCACCTCTCTGAACCTCAGTCTCTCACCTTCAAGTGGGAATAATAATAGTTTATAGGGTTATTATGAGGATTAAATCAGTTAACATCTGTAAGGGGCTTAGAACAGTGCCAAACAGAAAATACTGTAAGAATCTGTTAAATAAGATAGAATATCATAGAACCATTAAAACAGTTTTTGAAGAATATTTAATAACCTGAAAAAAAAAACTCATAGTAAATTTTTTAAAAAACAAAATTACTTATGGAATCACCCCAATTCCCTTAGACATAGGCAGGCTGGAAGACTGGTTGTAGACACTGTCTCAACATCCCTTTCTCCTGTCCCCCCTTCCTCACAGAGTCAGTTTTGGGCAGGTGCCCTCCCTCTTCCTTCCCACAGACATGTACTTTATGGGACTCTGACCACTGTCTGGCTGTGAGTGGGAAGCCTGCTTCACCTCGAGCCGTCAGCACACAGTACTCCCCCGCAACTCTCACTGGTACTGCCTGGCCAGACTGACCAACCTAGTAAAGAAGCCTTACACTCCTTCTAGGCTGGGGGAGAGTTTTCTCTCGTAGTCTCTCCTGCTGCACGTACAGTCCAACAGCCACCCAGCAACTGGGCTGCAGTAGTGAGGAGATCTAATGATCACAAGGAGACTTGGCCTTAGGAGAAAATTCAAGTCTCTATGTCCCTGATGACATCGCTGAGCTGCTGAGCTGCTGAGCTGCTGATCATGCTGTGTCCACAGCCTCCCCTCTGTAGCTTTCTAACTGTACCATACATTTTGTGAACCTTTAATCCAATTTTAGGACAAGTTTCATTTACTTGTGGTCCAATATCCTGATACACTTTACACTGTAGGTCCCTGTCTACATCTGCACTCACCCTGCCCTCCTAGGACAAGTGTCCCTTTTCTTGTCTGAGACCAATCTCTTTAGCTAATCTCTGGAGCCCACACTCCCACGACATCAAGGCTCCCATTACTGCAGCCATGTCATCTTTAGTCTTGCTGGAGGCTGGAGGATAGTCAGGACATAAGATGAAAACTAAGAATAAGGCAAAACTAACTGTGGCAACCTCTTTAACTACAGACTCATGCTCAGCTCATGCTCATGCACCTGGGAAACAAGACTGACCGAGGGGACTGCAGGCCCATACACCTGCTTCTCACTCACCTGAAGCAGAGTCGCTGCACTTTGTACATTGTCATTCTTCCCCTCTTCTCCCCTCCCTTTTTCTGTCCAATAAACATGTGCACTGCTTAAAGCGAAATACACATGTGTTGCTCCACTGTACACACTATCCCCATGCTATCTCACTACTTCCCACAACTTCAATTCTCTCTCAGTGCCGATAATGTCAGATCCAGGCATCCAGCCAGATCTCTCTCCTGAACTCCAAACCACCATATGCCAAATACCTCACTGCTTCCTCGAATGTCCTCCAGCACCACACACACCCCTCCCCATGATCCGATCCAGTCAGCAGAAACGTCACCCACTGTCTAGGCACCCAAACTGGAAATCTGAGGCTTGAACTCAAGCACGCCCACTTGCTCTCCACCACTATTTCCTGATTCCTCTCAAAGCCACCATGTCCCTCCCTCTGGAACTCCAGTTCCAGTCACTCTTGCCTCTCATCTGAGTTACTGCACCTTGCAGCATGATCATTTCAAAATGCAAAATCTGAATGTCTCATCCCCTCACTTCAAAGAATCAGTGGCTGCCCCCTGCTTCTTGGGACAGGGTCTAAACACCTGGACCTGGCCTCCAAGACCATGAGGACTGACCTCTCTAGCTTCGCCTCTCTCACTGCCACCACCCCAACACCTGCTCCTATGGTCAGCACCCCACAAGATACATACTCCTCTGACCTCATGACCTTAACCTTGTCCACTTATCTTCTTATCCCTCCCAGCCACCTTCTACTTGTCCTTCAGACCTCAGCTTCCTGACAGAGCCTTCCCTGTCCCTTTCTCTCAAGTTAAGAATCCTTCCTCAGTACACCCCATACCAACCCTGTCGTAACACATATCACCCTTATTGTAACTGTTAGATCCTTCCTCAGCACTTCCAGAGCAGGGAAAATCTCTTCTTCAAAAGATCTCGATGCCTAATTTACAGCAGGTTATTAATGAATATTGGCTTTATTAAATGAAAACTTTTTTTTAAACTGGTAGAAAATATATCAAAATGCTAAAAGAGATTATTTCTGAGTTAGGAGATCATAAGTGATTTTTATTTTCTTGCTATAGCTCAATAAATGATCCTCTACACTTAAAACAATTTTTATAAATAAGAGTAAATCATACAGTGCTTGAAATATTAAAAATCATTTTCTATCTAACTGAAAGGTAACTTGTAGTTCTAACAGAAAAGCAATGAGATTCTGGTCAAGGCCTAATTTCAATGAGGCTTACTTTTACATTCTAACATGACAAAATGCCTCTCTCCACTTTGAAACCCTCCCTGTCTCCAGCTACAGGCAGTCAGTCACTGCTCTGCCCCTCAATGGGTTAGAAAGGGTCAGACTACAAAAGCCAGAGGCTACAACAGACTCTGACACTTCCTACAGAATTTCCAAGCTGTGCTCCTCACCAAGGGCATGGCCTGGAGAGGTGCCCTCAAGTTCCCGGGGGAGAAAAGGACTCTGCTCTGGCCCTTCCATGACAGTATTCCTTTCTAAAAGGATTAAATACACCAGCTTCTTTCAATCCTCCAAGCAGAATAAAAGAGAGTTATCATCAATATGCACTTAGCAGGGATTAGGAAACAACCAGTCAAAAGCTGTCTACAATATTTAAAAACAAACTCATACTCAAATAAGCATAAATACACACACATAAGCTTAGGTTACACAGCATTTTCTTCTCTCTTTTATAATATGCCTCCTGCAAACTACTACACTGATGAATCACACTTAGTCATTTTAAGTTAGTATGTTCTTTAGGCTAATATGTTCATCTATCTGGCATTATTATGCCCTTGAATTTCTGCCATTCTCCCTCTGTTAGAAGAACATGGAGGTTTTCATGCTGAGTTGAAATCTAGGGGCAATAAATAAAATCTATTAACAGGCACGTCAACTGAACCACCCCTTTCCAACCCTCAGTATCAGTGAGATGAGCATAAGAAATGGCTAAGTGTACTAGAGTAATTAGCATCAATTACCAAACAGACTACAATTCCTTTCATCTTTGGTTATTATTGATTACCTAATGAATTTAGGGCAAGCCAATACTTCCATGGTCAAATATTTCAACCAACGGGATGGAAACCTGCCAGTCATACCTACAATTCACCAGGAATTTTTATAAAGTAAATAACTGACCCTTGAAAGTTTATTAACTTTTTCAGGATATTTGTTCACAATAAGAAATCAACTAAATCAAGACTTTGAAGTTTTAACTGAAGTTTGAAAGATAAATTTACAAGGTCTGTCTGGAAAGTATCCAGCCCGTATGAAAAATGGAGACCTTTGTGGCTGGACAGAATTCACATTTCCTCTCTATCACAAAATTCAGGGGCCTATCATTGTAATATGAATGGCAAAGTAAAAAGAAGCTCGGGTGTCCCATATGAACTGGGAACACAACAATCATTACAGATTTTTATTAACCACATGTAATATGCTTCTCCCTCTTTTAAAAACAAACAAAAACACAACACACATTTAAAACAACAAACCAAATTTGTTTACCATGAAGTTTCTTGGTATCACAAAGACTTAAACTACTTCATTTTCAAAGTTAACAGACCTTAAAATTACAACATGACACTGTCTCAAATTAGGGTCCCAAAATCTACAGATTTGCAAGAGTCCAGAGGAAATATACATAGCCAGTGAAGCAATATGAGCTCACATAGAATTTAACTTGACCTCAAGTGCTGACTATTTTTCTTTAGGGCATAAACATAGAGGAGAACTCCCATGTTCTTCTAGTTTCAGAGGAGGACATATTATAAAATTATTAGAAAAATGCTATCCAATTTGCTCTGGGACATGTAAGGCAGATGGGAACAACCTCCCCAATGCACCTCTCTTCACGAAGAGCCTAGTTGTTCAGCAGATATATTACCATGTTCTTGAAAGTCACTTCTACCAATACTATTTTAATAAAGACGATCTGGGCTATAGTCCAATATGCCACACTATTTCATGATAGGAAAGAGGATATGAGCATTGATAGTTAATTGATTACAGCTGCTGCTCATTATTAGCCCTGACTTCACTCCTAGTAGGATTGCCACCACGCAAGAGAGCATGTTTTAATTTTTAGATTGAAACTACACTGCAGGGATAACTTTAGGTTCGTAGGCCCACAGTATTAGACTCCATACAAGTTTCATGATTAGAGGAAGGCAAGGGAAGAAAAGAGATGAGAAATAAGAAAATCCCAGAAATCACTTAAGGAAACAAAGACAGTCCTAGAAACCATTTGGGACAGTTCCAGGCATTCTAGCTATCAAAAAACCCAAAATAGTTGCAGAGACCAGGCCAAGCAAAGAGCTTATCTAAAATAGAGAAAGCATGTTTTAAAATGCTAAACTAATGACATTCAGAGATAAGGAAACACTAAATGCCCATTTTCAACTTTGAGTTTTGCCTTGGGCTGGAATGTTTTCACATGCTTCCAGGCAAAAGTAACAGAATTCTAATATTTGAAGAAAATCCTCTGCTTATTGACAATACAACTTTCTTGAAACACCAAGAACATTCAGCATTTAAAAATCTCCAAATTTTCCCCCTCCTATACCTACGTAAGTACAACTGGTATTATAAAATATTCTAAAACTTCAAACACTTCTCACAAGAAGTGCTGGTCTGCTAAATGAATGAAAGAGAAAGAAATAAAAACAAAGCGCTAAACTCTGAAGAATAAAAAAAGTTCTTGACTCAATAATTCACAGTTCATATTTGGCTCTCTACTGAACATTTCTCTGCCAATGAAATGGAGTATAGGCAGTAACTTTCTGTAGTTGCTGACTTCAGGCACACTGACACTATTTTATTTATTATTTATTTATTATTTTATTTTTTTATATCGACACTATTTTCAAGGCATCTCCAAATCTTATGTAGTGAGTGCCTGAAGTTTCCAGGACCTAACCATCCAGTAAATATCTTGTTCTTATTCATTAGATAAACCTACTGAAACACAAGGAGTTCTTAGATTATCTGGGTTCAAGATTAAATATCCTGCACAACTTACTTAGCAATATTTCTACCAATACTGATTTCTACAATCAATTTGTAGTTTAAATATGGAAAAGCTCAGTATTTTATTTCAAGATAAAGTATTTCTGTCCTCCCATACCAAACAGATTAATCCTTTTGGGGGGAATATTAGAACCATAATAGTTTAAATTTCTATAGAGAACAAAGATTAAAATCTAAATGATAGTTTTCTATCATTTTAGACAGTCATTTAGGTTTTGGCCTTAGAATTTATATAAAATTCGTTGACTGGAGTGGAGAAGAAAGCACAGCAAGCAGACAAGTAACTTCATTCAAAAACACAAAGAGAGAGTTAGCTGTCTATAAATGCTCTCATGCACAATGATTATAATGGAAATTAGGGAGAATGTCTTCTTCAAAGCTCCAACTTTCCCCATGGATAGACTTTGTATTTACTGTAATGCTTACCTGGTCTCCTGCCAGAACAAATATTTTAATGTGAAATTTAATAAATGGAACTAAAGGTATTATGTCTAATTTAAAATTCTATATTGTGTAAACTATTGATATTAACATAATTGAGTTTGTAAACAATCCATTTGTAGAAGCTAACCTTAGACATCGTATTGACCCAAAATATCTAGTGGGGCTCATCTGCAAAATGAAGCATCAATGCCTGGAATTCATTAAAAGTGTTACATGTTTAATTTCTCCTGCCCTACAGCTCCATTGTCTCGTAAAATTTTTCCTTTGATGTCCCCCACTAAAAGAATTAAAGGAATATTGTAATTGAAATGTCATCAATAATTCACAAGACCCTCCTCCACAGCAATACATCTGATGAAATATTAATTGAGCTCCACAGACTGACAGTCTGCAGAGGAGCACTTGCCTGTAATTTGAACCACGAGTCCTGATCTTGCTGTAGCTCAGACCTGCCAAGAAGGCAATTATCTGGATGGTCTTGCCCAATCCCATTTCGTCTCCCAGAATTCCTCCTGCCTGCTGGCAGTGCAATTCCCACAGCCACCTAACACCTGTCTGCTGGTACCTACGACAACAAACACCAACAAGAAAAGAGAAAATGGCAAATGGTGGATAATACAGATCGTAACAGAAAGTACTCATGAATTAATCATTTGGCTAGGTTCTAGTACCAATCAGAGAAACACGCCGGATGTGTGTTTTACACGAGTATTATATTTATAAGGTCATACATTTTTGATCACCTAGGAATAAAATCACAAATTTTTCTTTACAGAATGTTAACACATTTCTAATTAAACTGATAGATGGGATAATTAGGGACTATCTCATTTCTTTTTCAACATTAGAAATAGCTTGGTAAACAAGCATAAACTTATTATCTTTTATTCACTCTCTTTCTGGGAAAAAAAATCCTAAATATTTTTTGTATATAAAATTCCATTAATTTTTCCACAAAAGAGGCATTAACATTTATTTTTTCAATCTCAACTGCATCAAAAAAGCAGGAAGGAGACCACCACAATTTACAACTTATACTATTGAAAAGTCACTTCGTAATCATATTATCTTTTTATAGAAAAAATTAGATTACATTTTAAAGCCATAAACAAATCTAAATAATAGGGCTGCTCTCAAAATCAGTATGTAACAGATGATTCTGTCATATTACTAGCATGCAAAAAAGAACAGTTTAAAGACTCAACAATACAAAAGGTCTTCAAATTTGAAAGCAGAAATTATTCAGGGATTTTATCATCGGTACAAAAAGACCTGAGCTATTAAGATTTTAAATAAAGAATACAGGTCAAAGAGGAAGAACATATCCCCTCCCTTCCCAACAAAAGTAGGAATTGGTATTTTCTTTTCTCCATCAATGTCATGTTTAATCTGTAACCTAAAAATGAAGTTTAAAAAGGAATAATGCAAAAAAACATTTCTAGGAGGAATGGTGTGAGGATTACATGCCAAGTTAAAAAATCTAAAGCAAAAACCACCAATGAAAGCCGAAGGATTTCTTTTATATTTTCCAAAAAGAATACCAAGGCTGAATTACCTTGTTACTTCACCTTTAACTCACCTTTAAAAAGGTGATTTTGTTGTTGTTTTGCTGCCCAAACATTTACTATTTGGTACATGGCATGTCTATCTAAAATCTCATTTTGGACTTCAGTTCTTGCTGAACTGGTTTTAATTTCCTCTCCATAAATACATCCTAATTAACTTTCCCCCAGTCTTTTGCAAAGCAAGTCTAAAAGTTAGACTCTAGTCATTGCCATTATTACCTATCATATAATCTCAGCTTTTGAAAAAGACATACTCCCAAAAGCTCTGCAAAAAAACTAATGTGTAATCAGTTTCTAGAATCACTAAATTCTGGTCAATTAACCTCCTTTTACTGAGGTACAGAACGACTATGGGACCACTTCCTTCCAGGCAGGGACCAAAAATCTCCCAGTGACCATGTTGGCGTTTTACCACTACATCACACCGCCCACTTCCACCATGCGTCCAACAACTTTCTTTGTTTGGGGCCCATCCACTTAATTAAAGTGAGAAGAATCTGGAAAAGAGCAATTGAGAAATTATGAAAGGAATGGTAACCATTATGGTATCTCCCAGGAGTTTGGGGGGGAATTGGGACATCTGGATTCCATGAGACCCAGGAGAGGCAGTAACAGTATTCTGGGAGTTTCCTCGTCTACAAATCTAATCTCCACTGACTTCAAACAGCACATGATCTTGTGTTCACAAGAAGATGATTACCACTAAAAAAATGACTTAAGGAAAAACATTTACTAAGCAGCCCTGTAAGTCACATCTCTACATGGAAATCCCCAAAACTAGGGACAGTGTACAAAGATGGCAAACAGGGGCTCTTTCTTTCCACCCACAATACATGAAGGCCGTCAGATGGCAGTCAAAGGAAATTCGCTTGCACACTCAAAAGCACCAGCCACACCGCTGACAGGTTTGACTGACGAGGAGCTGGACCTGACTCTGGTTCCAGCAGTGCCACTGACCGACTCTGACCTTCCTAGTAATAAACACTGTAAACAATTACATGGTTTAAATGAAAACATGTTATAGAATCTACTTTTCAAAACCTTTGAAAAGCATATAAAAATTACTCCTTAGGAAAAGTTAAAGATTTGTCTAAACTATTATACAACAATAAGGAAATTATTATATCCTGTTATCCCCAGGAGACTGAAGCATCACAACGTGACCACGGATAACTGGTGTACCTTGGCATTGTCACACTAACCCAAGACTGTACTTACTAGCGTGGCTGAAAGTAACGTCAAAAGAATGAAGTTTGTCATTTGACTGCTAAATTATACAGACCAATGCATTTGCTGGGCAAACTTTCAAAACCAATTTAAAAGTTAAACATTATCTTGTAGAAAATAGCACTTAAATGGCTAATTGTACCTTCTAACTCCCTTGTGTACAACTACATACCCTGTTAATTCAATTCCACAGAGTGCAGTAAATACAGTAAAAAATAAAGAAAAATATCTCTACAGTTTAAAATTAAATCAGCCTGAAAGTTGCCCTCAAAAAAAAAAAAATAAAAAAAATAAAAAAATAAAATTAAATTGGCTGGCTAAAACTTGATCATAAAAGAAAAATGGAGACTCTATCAATCCAATTAATTTTTTTCATACATCTGAAGGAACAGAAGTTTTAGGACATCTATAAAATATTTAAAATCCTGGTTATTACAGAGATAAAAACAAAATACTTTCCAGGAATATGCAATTAATTTAAAATACATGTATTTACATTAACTAGTATAGAGTTAATTATCCGAATCCTATACACTCTTAGTAAGCAAAATTTGGTTCCATTAACTGTGAAATTTCTTTGCTAGAAAATCTGACATTTATACATAAATGCACACTTGACCCTTGAGGATGTTTGCCATATCACTTCCTACACATGCAGAAGTACTTGCCTTTGTCAAATCAATTTAATCTATAATTGGGTATTCCTTTTGCTAGTTCAACACTGATACTATTTGGCCTGTTCTTTAATAAGCAATCACTTTAAAGAAAATGAAACGAGTTGCCAATAAATGTTGTCTTTATTTACCTTGCCCTAGTTAATTTTCATTTGGGAGAAGCAATAAACAAAGTAGCCACCTCTCTGGGCTATTTTCTCTGCAAAAATCACTAGAAATTCAGCTTTTACCTTCTGCATAGTTATTGTTCCTCTCTCCAGTTGTGGCAACCCAGCCATGTCACTGCACACCTTTAGGGTATGGCTTCCTGTATGTTTAAGAGGTTAAAATAACTACTCTTCACCCCCCTAACCTCCCCAGAGACAGAAAAATTAAAACTATAAAATTTAATACAAGCTCTTTGAGAGGAAATATAAAGAGCACGCTGTTTGTAAGTAGACTTCCTGCACAAGTTTAGGGACATGGCTGACAGCTGAATCTACCAAGGAGATTAAACTTAATCATCTCAAAGAAAGAAGTCTGCATCCTGCTCCCAACTATAAATTGATGATACAAAAGAGTCAGAAAGAAGCTATTTAATGGTTTAACTTCCTACATGCATCTAAGAAGCCTTCCTAAAGCATCTTGTTAAGTAAATCCCTGGAGTGATAAGACTGAAAACGCTCCTCAGTATTTCCATTCATCACAGGAGACTGGCCAGCCCTTCCAGACCATGAGCGTGCATCTGTCTACCAGGCAGCATCCGGTCTACTGTAACACTTGGCCACTTTACATATGAAACGTAGGCAGCTTCAAATAGCAACTTAATCCTCAAGGTGTTGTCTGTATCTTCTCTTTTGACATCAGAACGACATCTACATAAAATATTTAGAAGCACATTTGGTCGGCTTGAAAGTATTATACCCTCAGGTACAATATAAGACACTCAGAAAATAATCTCAAGTTTTTTACTTCCATATTGAAGTAAAGAAAAAAAAAACCCTCCCCAATATTGATTTTAATATATGAAATTAATCTGATACAAGTTTGGCACCTTAAAATCACTAAGAACAAAAAATAATTCAACATAGATGGCTTTTAAATGTGTTGCTTTCAGTCTGTTGAAACAGGTCCATACAGATTTATCAGTTCACAAACATACCCAATGCACACTTTAGTCAATTTATTATCATCTAATTTTAATGAACAGCATGTGGCTAAAATTTCATTTGACAGTATCTGTTTTTGCAATAAATTGCTGCAAGTACCTTAAGGACCTACAGGTAACTACTGTGTAATTCCTAAAATATTAATTTGCACATAATGGCTCGATGACAAATAAATATAAAGAACTGATCACATGGCACGTACTTAAAAAGCTTTTTGAACAGAAAACCCGGCACTTTAAAACCTTCGTCGAACTCGGCATCGCTTTCCTCAGAATCGTCTTCTAGTTTCAGGCGCTTCTCCTTGTCCTGCAGTCTCAATTTATTCCATCTCCTACAATGAAAATAAAAATCATATTTCTATTATTTTGGTTACAAGATGGATTAAAATAGATAATTCCAGATCATGCACAGGAAAGAAGAGGCAAATTAGAATGGTCTCTCAGGTTTCTGCTGCCATCATTATCCGAAACACTAATATTCAAAAAAGAAAAACAGTTCTCTTTGCCTGCCTTCCCAATTCATTTCTTATTTGAATTATTATAGCTGCTCTAGAAATATTTCTGTAAGGTCTCATTTCATTACCAAAACTACTTGCTCCTCTTCTGGCATACCCTACGGGAGAAATTTCTCTGCTAGTTCCTAAGATACATAAACTTAGTTCTACAAAAGATTCAGGAAAAATTTCAATATAATTAACATATCTCCAAAACCATATGGTGTAATAAAAATAGATTGTATTTACTATTACTATTTCTGTGCTCAAGATATGATAGCCATAGCATAAAACAGCATAGTACCTGTGGACATAAAGCAACTTTTTGGTCAAAACCACTGTATCGGATTCACATTACTGATTACCCCACTAGGGGAGACATCAACAATATATAAGTACTGATAGTTATACCACTCAGAAAAAAAATGTGTTCACTGAATAAAGTCTAAGTTATGAATTTAGTGATATGATGCTTTTCAGATATAAAATGAGCATTTATATTTCAGAAGGGCATCACTCTGTATGTTTAACAGAAGAAATATTGGTCATATAAAGATCTGAAAGTCTTAGCAACATACCAAGGTTGCGGGGAGGATGCAGCCATTTAACCATAATGTATTCATACAACTGCATAACTATAATGGACCCTAGTGTCATAAGTTAAAAAAAAATACTAAGGACACTAGTCTCAAATTCTATTCACTTTGAAAATAAATGGATGACTTTTTCAGCATGTGTACAACTGACACTCTGAATTTCACGAAATGGTGGAAATCAAAGGAGACAATAATACAGATAAATGCCTTCAAACCAAAAGGCTCATAGCAAGGGAATGAGAGCAGCAACATAGAGAAAAAGGCATTCATCTGTCACTGACCATGCAAGAATAACAGAGACTGTCTGAGGGAAAGCAAGAGAGAAAACGAAAGGATAATACTGCACACCCTGCCTGGTTAGAGGCATGGTATATTTTTTAGTATCCACTAAGAAACCAGCAGAGGCCAATGCAAGAGTGACAGGCAAGCCCCTCCAGGTAGCTGCAGGTGGACCTTAAAGCACATCCTCTGATAAATTCTTGCCTTGCCAAAAATTTCAACTCTTCAAAGTAACAAAAGGGTAGCTGAAATTTACTTGTGATAAATAAGAAAGCACTAGCTGGTGATTTGCAACTGCAGGATAGTAAGAGAACCTATAAATAAGATCAATGAAGCACTGTTGGTAATTTCCAAAGAACAACAAACAGAAGAGGCAGTATATGGCCAAGTCTAAGGAAATGGATATCATCTAACCATAAGGTTTATGATACTCTTTTTATATAAAAATTTAATGTCCTTTTTTGTGCTTAACTTCTTAAGGCAATCTCTTTTTCTATTAATATTTTTCTCCCTTAAAAATTATCTCCACACAATTGACCAAATGAAGTATCTCTAGGTGGCTATAACAGCCTTCTGAGTTTCATGTTATTTACAAGTTCTGTTAAGCGCAGTGGTATACAGCAATGGCAATTTTGCCCCCACACCCTCACTCCAAGATAACTTGACAATACCTGGAGACATTCTTGGTTGTTACAACTGAGACTGAATCTGGGGACAAACTACCACTAGCATCTTGCAGGTGGAGTCCAGGGATGCTGCCAAATATCCTACAACACACAGGGTGGCCTCTTTCCCCCCAGTAAAAAGCTATCTAGTCTCCAATGTCAATAGCGCTGAAGCTGAGAAACCCTGGGTATCCCTTATAATCGGAACTCAGAAACTGAAAAGATGCATAGACATCTTCCTGATGCACATATCTGAACTCCTGCTATTCACTCTGAAACTTAGCAATCAAATAGTTTCAGATAACATATTCCTTAGCATCCAAGCTCTTACCCTCTGAACTAAAACCAAACATCTGCATAAGAAAGGACACTTGAATTTAGCAAATTTGTGGATAATGTGAAACTTGGAAGAATCATGAAAACTATAACAGCCACTTGAAAACACTTCATTTTTGCAATTTCTCAAAGAAGAAAAATAAAAACACCAGAAAATACGGGCTTTAAAAGTATGGCACAATAAGATCATTAAATATTTTATATACAGCAGTATCAGATATTAAACTTCATAGATAAACAATGGCTATTTCCTTAGGCTTCACCAGTAAATTTTTGTGGCTGTTAAATTTCCCACCACATCAAACTGCATAGCTAGAGTTTCAGGTTCCTCCTCCTCCCTCCCTTCTAAAATACACAGGCATTGTGTCACCACAGAACTCAGCACCTAGGAAACCACACAAGCCACTACAGAAATGATTGCATTCCAGTGCCTTCCGCTTCATAAAGAAAGATGAAAAGGGCCAAACATTTATTGTTTGGCTAACGGATGACTAAAGGTGGTGGGGAAAAATCATTATTGCTACAAGTATTTGTATCACTGTGAAGACAAATTGCCCCATACACATAATAAAGACAGAAAACACCAAGGTTATAAAACCACATGCACATGTGGCTCTAAGAGATTCTTCTGTTACATAAGCAATATTTCCTCCTGTGGCTTGCAGCCAAAAGACCTGACCATCTGAAAGGGCCATGGAAGCAGCACAGCATAAAGGTGCTGGTCTACAAGAAGTACTGGAGGGCACAGCACAATGGGATGGAGAGGTGAGTTTATCTGCACACAGAAAGAAACATGCCCCCCCCATCCTAGATGCTGCCAAGAGACTCAAAGGTGCTCTCTTCAGTATGTTTAACCAGCCTGTCCCATAGTCTGGCAGGCTGTGCAGTCTGTCTGGCCAACAGATGCAAAGGGGGCTTCTGTGCTATGAACACACTGGGTTTGACACAGAGAGAAGCAGGCCTCTCACAAGTCTGGGCTCAGACTGCTAGAGTCGAATCCTAGTGCCATTTATTCGCTCTTTAACCCTCAACAAGTAGCTTAACTTCATCAGCAGCTAAGTTCCCTCCACTGGGAGACTGCAGGAACAACAGCACCTACTTCACTGGGTTTGGGGAAGGATTAAATGAGGTGTCCCATGTAAAGTACTTAGCAAAGAGACTAGAATATACAAAATGCTTAATGAATATAGTATTATAATCATATACACTTACTGAAATCCTGACAACCACCCTACAGCAGGTACTACTACTATGTTCACTTAAAGAGGAGGAAACTAGATATAGATAGATAGATATGTGGCCCAATATGATCAGCATGTGATAATGTAATGCACCACAAATGTTTAACAGAAATACATGAACATTTATTTTTGAACAAAAACCGTGACAGTTTATCAAATGGATGCTCAATAAATTATTATGAATGGTATGATAAACATATGGGTAAAGCCATCTGGCCTTCAGAAGGTACCTGCAAGAATATCCCAATTTAAAAGTTCTGTCATGAATTTGTAAACTGTCAACAGTATGGCGATCTTTTATAGTATAGTAACAAAAATAGATACAGATGACAATATTGGTTGGAAGTGAGTCAAAGTTAAGATTCAGGCCCAAGTGAGCTGAAATCTTAAGAATTAGAAATGGCCCCCAAATTTAAATTCAGTTATCTCCATAAATAGGCCAGTTAACTAAGAAAAAGCAGAAGGAGGCATTAACTAGTCCAACATTTACCTTTTTAGAAAAGAAATAACTTTCTCATGTTCTCTATTCTCTCATTTTAAAAAATCCACACATGTAAAAGTCACAGCTGCAGCCACATAAAACAAAGTGGGCATGGTGTTCACTGGCCAAGTTTCCAACCCCTCACACGACTGCCAGCTTCAGCCTGCCATTGACTCCACTGGCAGCCACTTACAAGAGAAGCCAGGAACAAACATAAACCTACAATTCCAGCTGGATGCAGGCAGAGAAAACATTCCCAGCTTCCCTACATTCATGCCGGAATGAGAACCTGGCCCAGGCTGTGGGCCTGCGGCTGATATTGCAATGATTTCTCTATCAGAAGCAAGTCGGACTCAGCATAACCAGTTGAACTACACCAGGAACGAAGCGTTCTCCAGCTATACCCTACTGGGGTGCCCTGTCAATAAGAGGAACCCTAAGAATACACCTGAGAACTAGCTGCCACCATTTAAAGTTAATTTATCTCAGAAGAATTTCCAGTATTCCCCGACGTTCAAACTACACAAGCAGAAAAACACAGCTATCCACCACTGTGCCATACCAGCATGTGGCCTCATCTCTGTGCACCTGCATGTCCTGCACTGCCCCCAAGCTCCCTCCTCAACACACACATCCACACACTCAGGAGACCCTTCAGGGGTTCACTCAAAGAGCACCCCCACTCAGGGAAACCTTTGCTGGCCAACCGGGCTCAGGCAGCCTGTCTTTCACGGGCACTCCCAACCCCGAGACATCTTGGCACGCGTTCCCAGGATAGCGCCCATCAAGCGAACGCCCTCCTCATGACAGACACTCAGTAAGTGTGGAGTGAGATTGATCGAAATTCAGAATTGGTCTAGAGATAAGGAAGACACAGAGATAGAGAAGTGTGACTTGAAAATGGTCAAAGTGGGTCATCCAGAAATGAGTTCTAGAAACTTTCTGATTTATCTCATTTAGACCTACCTTCTGCTGCATTTTCTAATACTTCTACCTGTATGACTTTAAGGCATTACTCCTAGTTCTATCCACTAGATAAACCTTAACCAGGTCCACTGCAAAGAATGGCCCACAGCAGTGTACAAGTGCAACATCAGAGAAATTCTTAATTTAGAATCTTAGAAAAAAGACAAGAGGGGGGGAAGCTCATTATTTTGAATAATTAAAAATAAGCAAAATAAAAGTTGTGTTAGTTTTTTTCAAGTCTGAGCTCCATTTTGGGGGTTCACAGTGAGTCCAC